TTTCTTAAATGGAGCCTAGTGAACACTACTAGGAGTTCTATGAAGTCTTGTCCATCTTCAAAAACGAGGATTTCTGAACTTTATTGTAAGGTCTGACAAGATTTGGGATCTATAATAAACTATTATTGACTTTGACTTCTAAATTATGTAAGACTCATGAGCATACCAAAACATAGTCCTCTATCAAGGACTTAAGTATGAGTAGAGCGAAACTTTATTCTCAGTCTCACGATAGTGTTAATGTTTCATATAAGAACGAGAGTTTCCTGACCTCATATCTATTATGATAGTAGTATTAAAGTTAATTATCATGTCCGAGGATATTGTTCGTTTTAATATTTTAATTCATTACAATTTTATCTTTAAAAAATGTCTCGATAAATTAAGATAAAATGATATATAAATTATTTTTAATTTCAATTCTTAAAAATAAGAATGGTGAGCCTACCAAAATAGTAACAGTGTTAAAAAGAGAAATAATCCTTTTCAAAGCATAAAACAATTAGTATTTCTTTTGGAGGGACACAACCACGAAGCACCGTTAATTTACTATCATTTTCCCAAACGGACCCTACGTTATGCACTTGTGCATTAAAAATGAAAGAAAGACATCAATGAGAGCGAGTAAACGCAAAAAAGAAACCTTGACCAGAAGGAAAGAAGTCCGAGTAAACAAAGCAAAAGCTCATCTGACCAATTTAAAAGATTTTCCACTTTCTGGTAAATATCAGTTCTCTACCCAGTGGAGAGGGCAAATTTCTACAAGATATTGATTCTGAAAGGTTGTTAGAGGATGCAAAATTTACACTGTATAATCAATGAGGAAAGTTTATACCTAGTGTAATCAATGATTTTTTTTTATATATATAAAATTCTATATCAACTAAAATAAGATAAGATTAAGATATATATGAGTAAATTTTATTCTCCCGTTTTATAGAATTAATTAAATTTCAGTTCCTTATTAGGTGCTAACAGCTTTTGATTTGTTGTGTTTAACAGAGTGTAATAGTGTTAAAGGTGGACATACATGATCATAGAATCAAACAAAAAGCTAAGAAGACAGGTATCAAAATTTTAACCATACTACAACTTTGCTTTTGTTTCAAGAAAAAACATCCATGTCTACACAAGGGTTCATTGATTTTTAACAAACAATTGAAGAACGAAAACGTGTTTATGTTGACTGAAAGACAAAGTGGAAAAATATGATTCTATGACGACATTTTATCATGGTTGTAATCCACCTGTCATAGTATATAGGGCAGTGGCATTTTTGTAATAATATTATGAACTTTTTATGTCGGTTATTATATAACCGACATGGTATGTGGGCAAATTCACTTTTTATGTCGGTTAAATTTCAACTCGACATATTTATGTTGGTTGAAATTTAACCGACATAGAAAGTGTATATTAAATAAAAAAAATTAAATATATAAGTATATAAATATTTATATATCAAAATATATAAATATATTTGTATTTATATATTTTGTATATAAATATAATTTATTTGTAAGTTATGTATCGGAAATTCGTAGTAGTTTAGTGGTTGGAGTATCGGTCTCCAACTCTAAGGTACTGGGTTCGAATTTTGCTAGACACAAATCTCTTAAACAGATAATAAAATAATATATTATAAAGTATAATAAAAATATAATATGAATAAATAAATAAAAATCGTATTAGTGTAGTGGTTGATCTAATTTTATACTCTAATGTACTAGGTACTTTCGTAGAAAGTCCATTATTTTCTATGTCGGTTCATTATAATCGACGTAAAAAGTCCTACTTTCTATGACCCCTGTATCTATGTTGCCTCTTTAACCAACGTAAAAAAACTCATTTTAAGTGACATAAAAAGTCTTTATTTCACTAGTGAAGAAATTGATCTTATCTTATTCATCCAGTGAATTGGCAAGTGGTGTCACATTCATCTAGTTTCCCTTTGACCCGCAAAAAGTATCCTTCATTATTAAAATTGTATCACGTAAACTCAATATATTATCAGTGTTGAAAGTTGTGTCATCTCCTAATACGATAAAATAGTAAATATTATCACGTGACAATTACGTTTAGGCAATTTTTTGGGAAACAGCGTTATATTCTTAAATTTTTTTAACTTATATTAATTTTAATGATTTTGATCATTTAAATTTAATTATTATTCTCAAAATTTTAAAATTTATATTAATATTAATATTTATAATTTTATTTTATCCAAATTAAATTATTATTAAATATATATATATATATATTTATAAATTTAATTTCTCTTCTTTTTCATATTTTTTTATTTTTTATATTTATTTATTATTTATTAATAATATATTATTTAATCCTTGAAAATCAATAATCAATATTTGTCATTTCATTTAGGATATATATCTTCTTTTATTTTTTAACTTATTAAAATATATTTTAAAAATAAAATTATGATAAATTAAAATTTTAAAACTGAGAATATTTTATACATAATAATAAACCTTATTAATATTAAATTTTAATAAGTTAATAATAACTAATAACTAACAAAATTTGACTGGATACTATATTCATAATACTATTTTCACAGTTTGAAATTTAAAATCTTCTATATTTTATCATCTTATTATTATTATCATCTATATATTTAATAATGTAAAATATCTTCTACTTTAATAATTGATTATATTATAAAAAATAATAAGCCTAACTTATCTTTTTCAAAAAGGAAAAAAGAAAAGTAATAAAGGAGAATTGTCTACGTCTTTTATATATATATATATATATATATATATATATATATATATATATATATATATATATATTATTTTTCACCCCTCATTGGATTTGAAAAGTTGTTTAGTTGTGTGTAAAAGAAAAAAAAATCTAGTAAAAAATATAAAAAATTAGGTTATTTTGAATTTTTTTATGCTCCTCAACCTTTATCTTTTTTTTTTTACCCTCAAAGTTTGGAATGAATGGTATATGAGTGAGAAGAATGTTGTTTCTAGTTTTTTTTTTTTTTCATCTTTTCTTGAAACCAAACTATAAAATGGTTAGTTGGTTTCCTTTCATTAATCAATCTCTTCCTTTTTCACTATAAACAAACAATTGCGTGTTTGGTATATTTGGTTTAAAAAAGAAAAAATAAAGTTTGAAGTTATATTGTAATAGATCGTTTGGTTGTATAGAAAGTGAAAGAAGGGAAAAATATCAAGTATATACAAATTTGAGATAATTTTTTTTAATTAGAACTATGAAAAAAATATTAAGATAAAAATATGCTAAAACAATATCTAATTAAAAATAAAAATAAAAATATTGTTTTTTTAATCCATTAAATTTTCTCTTTTATTTTGAACTTTGATTTAATTTAATTTTATTTTAGTTTCTAAAAATAGTTCTAGAGATAATTTTGAAAAAATATTTTTAAAAATAAGTTAGAAAATAAACTCGTTTGATAACTTTATTTTTAAAACTATTTTAAATGAAAAAGTGTAACATAGATGAGTATTAAAAGTTGTGATGAGAGTTAGAAAATGATTTTGACAATTTATATAAAAATAAATAATTTCATGTAATCATTAAGGAAAACATTGACACCATAAATAAAATCTGAAAATTGCAACTTTTTATATAAAAAATATATTTTTATTTTATTTTATATTAGTTATATTAACTTTAAATAATAATTATTTTATTATATTTTTATTTTATTTTAATAATTATTTATCTTATACTTTTTAATATATTTTTATTAATATTCATTCTAATTTATGATGGTAAATTTTATTATTTTTTTTATAAAAAAATTATTATTAATAAACTTATTATATATTTATTATATTATAAAAATTTTATTTTATTAAATTCAATTTTAACTTCGATTAAACTTTTTAAACCTTTAACTCATATTTTTCGTCTATTAAATGGTGAATCCGGTTCTAAAAAATTCTTAGTACTCTATAAAGTTTGTAATGTTTCGAGTATTTTAAGGTGGCACTGAAATTATGAATGTCTAGGGTGGTTTTGATTGAGAAGAGGAGAGAAGATAGAAGAGGATGTAATTAATAAGAACATTTTTAGTAATTGGTTTTACAGACTAAGTTTATTTTTTATCAGATGTAATTTTGTTTCAATCAAATAATAGGATTCATTTGGACTAGAAATTATTATTTTTTTCTTAAATCTCATGTTGATGCAAACTTTAAATTTGAATATTAAAGATCATTGATTCAACTTAATCTCATGTTGATGCAAACTATTTTTTACGTTAATTATTTTAAGATTTCTTATACTTATCACCAAAGAGATACTTTTTGTATCAGTTATACAATTAACGTAAAAAAAAAAAAAAAAGTTTATATATCATATATCACATTGCAAAACGAACGTAGAAGAACTTTTGTAATATAAAAAAACAAATTCTACTAATAATGCTACATCACATCATTATTATTTAATGTTTATCTTGTGTTCTTGTGATGTAACCACGTTATACTTTAGAAAAAATAATAAAAAGGAAGCCTTCAATTATTACACTCTTTATGTGATATTAAGATTTATAAATTGATTCATCACTTTCTACGTGGGAACCGTAGGGTAGGTAGAAGATGCAATTTTTAAAGATGACACGGTTTACTACAACCGTGTGTGGCCAAAAAAATTGTTTTAAGTTTTGATGAAAGACAAAATTACACTATTTGACCTTGGTTGACTCCACTTGACTATATGTCTCAGTCCCACCATATGCTACTATAAATATTACTCAATCTCAACCATTCTCAGCACAACTTAATAAAAACGACCTCTTAATATTTCAACTCAGATAACATTTTTTTGCACTTCCTCAGCCAAACAACTCTTGCTTTATAGCACTATCAGAAGCTTGCATTAATGAAGGTCAGAAATAAACTCTCATGCATGTGATGAGGCAAATTTTCCTCCTTTCTATTATTGGATTTTAATAGCTCTTAATTTGATTTGTTCTTTCACAGAAAGTAGTGTTGAAGATGGACTTACATGGTGATAGAATGAGGCAAAAAGCTATGAAGACAGCATCTGGACTTTCAGGTCTCAAATATTTAACCTGCTACAATGGTTTTTGGTTGAAACAAAATCACTATCATACGGTGTCAAGTATCCAATGATTTTTAACAAATTTTTTTAACTTCAGGGATTGACTCAGTTGCTGTTGATGTTAAAGACATGAAATTGGTCTTGTTGGGTGACATTGATCCAGTGAATGCCGTGACCAAGCTACGAAAGTTGTGTCGCACTGAAATAGTTTCAGTTGGACCAGCAAAAGAGGAGAAGGAGGAGCCAGCAATGTTAACTTTTCCTCTAAAATTCAATGAAGCCTATTATCCTCTTTATTATCAGATGACACCACAGAATAGTCAATGTTACTGTTACGATGAGAATCCTAATGGCTGTGTCATCTGCTAAATTGAAGATTAGAAAATATGATAAAAAAGGCAGAATCATTCTGCTGCTTTTAATAGTATTTTGCATGATCTAATAGATTGAAGATTATGGTGTGTACAGTAATATATGGTTTACTGTTATTAGTGTGTGATGTATATTAGATTTGCGATTTTGTAACATGTCTTCCACAAAAATTTGATGGTCTACTCATATGGAGAGAGATAGAGGTGATGACATCCAAGATTTGAATAAAAATGTTACTTCTTGATACTTCTTCTACGTATGATTTGTCAAATTTTTATTACTATTTATGTATATTATAATTTTCAAAACAAAATAACACCTTTTGTAACCCTGTTACAAAGATGAAGCAAAATTACAACAAGATAATATAAATCGACACATGATGTCTTTTACAACTTATTCACCGTTATATCATTAAATATATTAAAATAAGATTTCATTTTATTAGAGATAAAATAAAATAAAATAAAAAAAGTTAAACTTAAAATATTTTGACACTAAAATAACCGTCAATTTAAAATATTGAAAAAAGTCTTAAATGTAAAATTTATTATTGAATTAGATGATTATGTTAAATAATAATTCATAAATTACATAATTATCTTCATTAGATGGAGTAATTTGACTAATTTTTCGATTATAAATATTATATTTCTATAATAATTTTATGAAAGTGGTGAATGTATATATTATATGAATATACATCGATTATTTTCAATTTTAATATAATTCTTCTCTCACCATACTTTTTCCGATAACATAATTGAGATAGCAAGATTATTATGAAAATCCGTCTATTGAATGAATCTGTCTTTAATTCTGCAGATAAATCCATCACTCCGTGTTGATTCCATTCGAAACTTTGCCACCAATTCCATCAATACATATTTGTTGTTATTTTAGTTTTTTTCTTTTGCTCATAATTTCTTGGTTCTTGATCAATGAACGGTGTTATAATATAAATTGATGATGTGCATTTCTAAATATGCATAAAATGACGTTCATTGGTTATTGTTGCCTCATGTTGTTTACCTCTTTGATTTAGAGTCATATATTTCTTGTTGGTGTTGGCACACATGTAATATTAGTTCTTGATTATGGCAAATTAATTATAATACTGTGAATGTCTTCGTCTTCTTATTGTTTGTTATTTTGAATTTAAATAGAAAGTCGCATAGAACTTATTTTATTTAAAAACAAGAAGATTACAACTTAGCAGTAGGTGAAGGCACTAAGTAGCTAAAGGATACGACGAAAGGTTACAACAATGATTAATCTTATTTAGTTACGTAATTTTTAGTAGTAATTATTTTTTTAGATTATTCTAATTGTCTTTTAATTTTGTTTTCAAATTTTCATATTATATTATGAGTTTTATATTTCTTTGGGTATTTTTGGTGAATTATTTTTGTCTCACTTAAAACTTGTCATAAAGAAATAAATTCTTTATAGTATAAATTACTTTTAATAAGAATTTGAGTGAAATTTTAACACCTTATCCATTTTCTTTCCTACAGGCATAACGTACTGTACTCTAAAATAGAATTAAAATTTAACATTCTAAAATGTTTGTTTCCGTTAACATCCAATTTTGTTTTATTTTATTATTTATTTATTTATTTTGCACATATATTTAATACATTTTTTATTCTCTTTTCATTGATATTAGATTTAAATTATATCTTTTTGGTGTTTTTATTAAAATTTGTATATAAAAAATATTTTTTAACAACAAAAATTAAAATTTATAAAAAAAAAGATAAAATAGATTAATATTGGTTCAATATAAATAAAGTTAAAGAAATTATGTAGTATATATTTTTTTATAAATTTTTATTTTTATTGTTAAATAATATTTTTATACCAGTTTCAATAAAAACACTAAAAGATATAATTTAAATCTAATATCAGTGAAAAGAAAATAAATATTGTATTTTGACTTAAATATATGCAAAAAAAATAAATAAAAATAAAAGAACAAAATTAAAAGTATAAAATTTTTTAATTCAGATTTTTTTAACTATATTTTATTGGACCAATATTAATTCATATTGTCTTAATTTTATTAGATTTGTATTTGAATTAATTAATATTATAACAATCTTAATTTATATACCCCATTTTTTTTCTAGACAATTTTTTTCTTATATTTTTGTCTTTTTATTTATTTATTTATTTTCTTCTTTAGCTTTTTATTTTCAATCTTTGTGTATTTATACACTTTCATACTATCGTCATCTCACCCTTTTGCAATCATTCAAGCAGTGTGAGCCAGTATTTTAAAGTAAGTTTCACCAAATTTCATCAATTTTCTGTGAATTTTGTTTTCCCAATCTTCTAAATTCCTAAATTCAAGCTCAAAAATCTTTTGGACAATTTTTTTTTATTTGAACAAGTTTTTTAGCCTCAAGATGGTTTATAAATACCATGGTTAATAAAGAAAAAAAAAAGGAGTTGACTTAATTAAGAAAATAATTGTAGAATCAAACTAAGGAGAAAGGGTAAGAAAAAAAAATCAACATCAAAGATAGAAAATCGAGGATTGGGTAAACAATCTCTTAACCAGAATTTGTGTGATCTTAATTTCAGTTTGTATCAATATAGTTTTTGAAGTTATCATCTGAAATTTTATGGTGAATAAAATATGAAAGCAAAAAATCTACCAACTTTATCCTTAATTTGTTAAGCACAACAATCACTTGTTTTATTTTTTAAAGCACTTTTTAGTATACTTTTTAGTTTTAGATTTAATTTTTATAATTATAAGGAAAAGAAGATTAATTATATTTTTTTTAATTGATATATATAATATTTGAAAACTCTTTTGATAAGTACAAGTATATAGGAACATGGAAGGAGTAAAGTTAACCTATCCAGACTCTTCTCTCAGACAACCCAATAGCCATGAAAGCATGGAAACATTATTAGTAAATATCACTTATAGATAAAGAGAGTGTGGTTCTTTAAGAGATTAAAGTGTAATTATTTATAAGAAAGAATCATGACAACAAAGAGAACATTTATTTGATAAACTTATAGATAAAGAGAGTGAGGTGGTGAAATATAATTTTAATAACAAAGTATTTGTATTCATATTTTTTTATTCTTTTCTTCTACATGTTTATATGTTAATGGAATAATTGAGTCAAGTCTTCTTAAGATAATTTTGTGACTAACAACTAATTAAAATATTCTATTATTTCAATTTTCCTTATATATACAAATTATATCAATTTATACACAAATTAAATAATAAAAATATGATTCACTTATAAAATAATAATTTATGTTTTCTGTGATGAATAAACCACGAAAGCAGAAAAGATGATGCACAACCATTTTCCGTAGCAGACGCGTGATTTGAAAAAAAGATGATAAAAAGACTTCAATGATTACACCTTTGCCTTGGTTCACTTTCTACGAAGGAACTGTGTAGGGTAGTTAAGATGACACGGTCTTTGCCTCGTGAATTAAGTGAAAAACTGAAACTCTAGTGAAGATTTGAAGACTATATATATTTAAGAGTTTACTAGATTGACTTGAGTTGATTATTACGTCACGCGACATGCAACCACATAGATTTCCCAATCTCAACTTCATTTGCAAAATAATAGCCATATGTTGTCTCTTCATCCAGACCAGACCAGACCATTATGATTAACGATCCGAAAGTTTTCAAAATATTCTTCATCCAGAATTAGATATATTTTAATTTCACTTATTTAGATTATAATTTATACGAGATTAAATTATATTAGTTTTGTTGCTGATGAAATTATTCTTGAAAAAAGTATTTTTTATATTACTTAGTAAAACAAAAATCTATAATTCTTAGTAGAAGAGAGAAATCAAGATAGTTGTGTCGTAGAAGAATTACTCGTCCCGAAAATGTCTCGAAAATGAAATTCCGATATGGTCAACGTGTAACTCATTAACGTTGTTCGCTCCCGAGGTTAACACAACACTTTCTATCTACGTGCACTCGTGAGAAGAGTTGGAATTGCAAACTCTCGTTATCCGGAAATAAAGATGATGAGAAAAAAGTTTCTTACTTTTCTCCCGTGATAAACCCAATACTATTTTCTTATTTCCTATTTTATAAAGTATATTTATATTTATATATATATATATATATATATATATATATATATATGTTGAAAATGTAAGAATATGATGTCTAAAAGATTTTGATGATGATACAAGAACAAAAAACTTCAAGATTAAAAGACCCATACACATTTATAATAGTTTATAATAACTCTATTTAGTCATCTTGAGTATGTAAAAATAGAATCCAAAATAGTCAGCACTTAATTTGTTCACAAAAGTTTCATTTTTATCAAAATTGCACTATGATAATCGATTATCACAAAGGATAATCGATTATTTATGACAATTATGAATTTGAAATTCGAATTTTAACCTAATTTTGGAAAAACTCTATTTAAAAAGTCTCACATACTCTCTGAAAACAACATTTTTGATACTCAGAAGTTAAGAGTTGTGTTTGCTGAAAAAACTGAGTATTGAGCAAAAATGGGTTTTGGAAACCTAGTGTGGGCAAAAGACGATAAAAATCACTGAGTGAGTTTCTCAGTGGATTGAGTGTTATGTTGTCTCTATGAAAACTGTCTTCATTCTTTGTGGCTTCAACGAAGATGTTCATCTCTTATGTGACTTAAGAGACGTGTTTTCTAATCCTTTATATTTGTAATCTGTTTATCATATTGAACCATTATTTTATTGACTGAGTTAATCCTCTTTTAGAGTGATTAACAACTAGACGTATGATCTTTTAATCCGAACCAGTATAAAATACTTGTGTGATATTCTTCTCTTGTCTCTTTACTTTTCAAGTACTTTATTATATTAAAAGAAAGAATCAATACCTTTTAATCGGTAAAATTTTGCGAAATTTTTTAAAAAACTAATTTTTATAAAAAACCAATTCACTCTTTCTTAGTTTTTGTCTTAACCTCGAATATTCTGCCGTGATACCTATATATAATTACTTTTCCTGTTTTCTATTTTTAGACATAATAATATATTTATAAAATCGTTTTTAAAACTAACTAAAAGAAATATTTAAATAATAAAAACTAACCACTAAAAAAATATTTCCTTTAATTTTAGAAAGACTTGTTTGAAAATAATCAATATATAATTATATTCTCTACAATATGTGATATTATTTAAAAAGTAAATACTAATTTTTTTTTACCTATGCATCACTGGAGTGTCATGTGATTGTGTTTTGAAGTCATTGTGTTTTGATATTTTTGTAGGCACAATATAAATACTAATAAACACATTAAAGATAGTTTTTTTATTTATTTTAAAAAAATTAACATATAATTAATAAAAAAATACATGAGATATATTTACATAGAAAAATAGGAGATATGAAGTGGTAATTACTCATTGAGATAATGTTGAGGAGAGGAATGTTATTAGCTTTGAGAAACATTCTTTTTATTTTTATTTTTTACATCAAGATTTTGTTGCTATGGTTGGAGGAGACTTTTTGAGGAAAAAAAGTTTTTAAAAAAAGGAGGAAGGAGTTTCATAAAGGAAGAACTTTTAAAAAGAAGGAAAAAAAAAAAAAAAGATGAGGAGTTTAAAAAAGGAAGAGTATAAAAAATTATTTAACCTTATATTCTACCATTCGTGATCGCAAAGTGAGAAACACTTGAATGTTCTAGATTGCATTGACCTGGTCAACATGTCAGCGACCTGAAAATAAGAAGAAGAAGCTTCTACCGTAGAAGTTCTACGCGGTTTTCGAGGATGACCTAATAATGAATAAAAAACAAGGTATGATGAAGTAACATAGAAACTTCAAAATAATAATAACAATAATAATAATAATAATAATAATAATAATAATAAAATTCAACGTTACTTTGGTAATGTTTAAAAATTGAGTTTAGAAATATTTTTGCTGATTTTTTTCTTAATTGGACAATGTTGAAATAAAATATTAAAAATATTTTTTAAAATATGAATTCAAATAATTTTTTATCTTAAAATATAATTCGAATAAAATTATATCATAAAATATTAGCATACATAAAATAATATTTATAAAATATAAATTTAAATAAATTAATATTTTCAAAAAATAGCTATATATAAATTTAAATATAAAACATAATAAATAAAAGTCAATTCTAAATAATTATTGATTAATGTTTTCTTATAAATAATTTATTTTATCTTAAAATATAATTCAGATAAAATTACATTGTAAAATATTAGTATAAATAAATTAATATAAAATATAAATCTTAATAAATTATAATATAAAGTATACATTTATTTTTTTAAATAATTTTAATTTCATAAATTTAAATAGAAACATAAATAGATAAAATCTAATTCTAAATAATTTATTAATTATTAATATTTTTCTCACATATAATTTTATTTTAATAATTTCAATTCAAATAAAAATAGCAAATATTTACTGTATGAATATTATAACATTCATATACGTACCAAGCAGATAATTAAAATGTATGTATTCTGACCAGTAAATATATTCTTAAACTACTCATTTTATATTCATAAAGAATTTTAAATATTTTTTTCATTTCTATATCTAAACCATATGTTTAAAATTATTATTTTAACCATCTATTAATACTGTAATGTTATGTTGACAACATTCTTCCTGAATAAAAACTATCAAGTATCATAAATGTTTATATAAAAAAGAGAGAAAATATAATGTGATAAGAGAAAGAAAAAAACAAAGTCTAAAAAATCTTAAAATTTTGAATAAGATTGTTTAATTAGTCCACTATTTATATGTTTTACTAAAAAGTTATTTAAAATACATCAAAATACTTTTAAAAAATTAATTTATCGAAACTTATATATTTTTTAGTACTTACAAACCTTTTTTATAAATTGAAAAGACTCTTAATTGAATGCTAAATATGTATTTATTTAATTTAAAAGTATTGATTCAATATCATAAAACTTTTTTATATATATATATTTTTTAAAAATCTTCTAAACTCTTAAATCCAACACAACCCAATTATTATTCTAATATATTCTTTGCTGCTATAAATATAATTTTATTTTTTACATTTAAAATTAAAAAGTTATCCTCTTCCCTCTATTATTTTCAACCTTTGAATTTGAATTCCTGGTGCAGACAAGTTTCCACCTGTTTGTTACTGTTTCGTTTTTATTAAATTTGTCAGGGTGACTTGAATTTAAGTGTTCAAAACCGTGAAATGTTATTAACTCATTCAAAAATTGTTCATTTGATAAAATTCCCATGGTATAATGTTATGAAGAATTTTTAGAATACTCATTCAGATATAAAAAAATTATGACTAGATAAAGACACCAAAGAGGTGTTGAAGACTTCAAGTCCTGTTCAAATTTCTGAAACTCTCTTTCAACACAGACTTGGAGCAAGGTCAATAATAACATTTATCTCTGATATCTGATAACATGATCCAATCAGTTACTGATAGTTTGAACTATTTTGAAACATTCATTTTATCTACAAGCTCAAAAACTTCAATGATTGAAAGAACATTCTTGGGTGTGATGTTGCTGAGACATTAATATGCTTTACTTGTCAACCAGTGGAAGTTGTGCTTTTTTTACACTCTGGCAATATTTGAAGTGAGAAATGTTGAAAACCATTACATTATATACAATTTAAAAGATATATATAAAAATATATATCTAAAATTATAACAAGAAAAATATAGTCAATTTAAGATAGAGATAATTTACAAAAGATGTGAGAAGATAAAACTGATGCAGTTTGGCAGATTGAGAGCTTCAAAGAAATTCAGGAGCATGATTTGCAGTGCAGGGACCCAATGTTCTGGAATCCATACATGATGTTTCTTTCGTGGCAATTAACAAAACCAAAAATGAAGACTTTACTACCCTCCATAATGCCTTTTGGGGTCTAACGTACGATTCCATGGCTGTATAAAGCTGACTATATGTCCCTACCAAACACTACTTGAGTCATTTAGTTGACTTTGTCTCTATTGTAACAAGCCTTATGTATACTATATAAGTACCTTGTGAGCTACAAGTTTTTAACAATTCAATTAGAACGATCTCTTCACCTTCTCCAAAACTCTCTCAGACACCCCTTTCCTTCCCCTTCTGATTTTCACTAGAAAGCTCCTAACTTTGAGCCAATATGAAGGTAAGAATTTGTACCCCTTTCAGGTTTTCTCTCCTTAAGAACCATATAAATACAATTCTTAAAATTATGTGAGTTTTGCTCTGTTTCCATCCTCAATTCGCAAACATGGTTTCCAAAATTCTACTACTTTTGCTCTTCTGAAGTACTATTTGATATTCGAAATTCTTGAGATCAAGTTTTAGTGTTGAAATTGCAACCTTGGCTTGCTTTGAACCTTTTTATTCATTTTCCTTTTACTGTTCAAGTGATAATTTGTTTTGAAATCTTCATGCTTAGAAATGATTACAACAATAGATCCTAAAAGTTGTCTAATTATTGTCTGACAGAAAGTGGTGCTAAAGGTGGAACTCTATGATGACAAAATCAAGAAAAAGGCTATGAAATCAGTATCTGGTATTTCAGGTAAGGAATCCGAACATCCAACCATCTTTCTCATCTTAAATTATCTGTTTTTTTACGCTTTGTTTGTTATTCAAGGGTAAAACTATATGGTATACTGAATTGAATGCTTTTGGGGTGATTTGTTCAGGGGTTGAGTCAGTCTCTGTGGACATGAAGGACCAGAAAATGACCATAATTGGGGATGTTGATCCTGTTGGTGTGGTGGGAAAGCTTAGAAAATTCTGCCATGCTGAGATGCTTTCAGTTGGACCAGCCAAGGAGGAGAAAAAGGAGGAACCCAAGAAAGAGGATAAGAAACCAGATGCCAAGAAAGATCCAAAGGAGGAATATGCTGAACTTCTGAAGATGTATGAAGCATATTACAACCAAACTAGACAGCAACAATATCCATATTACTATTACAGAACAGTGGAAGAGAATCCAAATGGCTGTGTTATTTGCTAAGTAGTGGAACATCATGTAGTTTGATGGACAATAAAAGAGATCAAGAAAAGAACATAGTGGCTGGATTTGAAGAAGAGGAGTTATGTTTCGATTGGAGTTTCCTTTTTTTCTTCCTTTCTTTGTTAAGTTTTGGCCTGTCCTCTTGCTATAGTTTAGCAGAAAAAAGAAGTTCTGAAGCACAAAAATATAATATGTACATTATTTTGTGGTGTAAAACAGTGTACTCAAAAAGATGGCAATGTTGCTATAGAATTAAGAATTCAGAAATTGGTTTTATGAAATACAGGTGTACATTGCACAACGCTTAAGTCTGTTGGTGTTCGTTCTGAGAATCAGACATGGTGAGCTGACACCGCAGCAAAAAAGTTCATAAGAAAACAAAGATTTTTGAAAGGGCAAAATAAAGAAAATTAAAATTGAATGGTTGTTTTAGAAATTGCATAAGCATTCACTAGTTCTGAAAATGGAATATTGGAATCGATAGAATGACTGTACTGTTTGTTGTATGGTTCATCAATTCGAATATAATAAAACATATTTTAATCTGAAAAAATGGACCAAGGAGCAATAACAAAACAGTGTACATGGCTCCTCAGAAAAAAACGAAAACCAAGATACAGCACAATCTGTCACAATAATCTTTGACAATGACAACTTAATCACCTTACTTAACACTGCTTGAAGTTCAATTCTAAGCTGATTAGGATGAAAATAAATATTAGTATCTACTGCACATTGAAAGGGCTTACAGGAGGAGCAAACCAGAATTGAGAGAAAGGAAAACATTGTTTGTAATAAAACTAATTTTAAATCATTTTATATAATGTCATTTCATGGGATATTTATTTGTTTTAATAATAAAAATTAAAAATCTATTCTTTTTTTTTTATAATCAATCTATATTAATAATTTATTTTAATTATTAAATTATCAAATATTAAATGATAAAGAAGAAATATAACTATCTAATTTTATTTTTAAAATAAATGATTCTCATATTATATTATTAAAAGTGATGCATAGTATACGATGATGTAATAAAATTGTAAATATTTCATATTTATAATGTATAAAAAAATTAAAATATTTTAAGGTGTGTGATATGAAATGATTAAAAAGTTAGATATCATGACACCAATAAAAAAATATATTTTTTTATACTTAATTTATTCTATGTTTTTAATTCAAAGCTAGATTATATGGAATTCAAACATGAATTTCACTGTAATAGTCAAGAGTATTAAGAAATATATGGACAAATATTAATAATAGAACTATGAAGAAATTAAGAACCTCGAATAACAAAATAATGTAAAACTGATAAAAAGAGTAATAGTATACAATGTTGACACCTTTTTAAGAAAACCCAACCACCTAAGAAGAGGATATTTTAACTCTCAGTGATCACTGCAAGATGACCCATTGGTTGTTACAGTTTAAATGATAAACTAAATAAAAAAAAACTTTAATCAATCATATTTTCCTGTCACATTATTTTTAATTCAAAATCTTATTAATTCAAAATCTTATGATATTAAGTTATGAATTTTTTCTATTTAAAAATTATTTAATTTTCTTATTTTTACCTTATATTAAACTTCAAATTTACATTTAAATTCTCAATATTATATTATTCCACTTTCCTAAAACTTGACCTCCCTTCCAATTTAATCCAACCTTATTTTATATATCCTGTATTTTATATATTATTTTTCTTTAAAAATATATTTACTCATTATCTTTAATCAATTATAATCTAGTATTATATTATCATTCTATTTTTAACTTTTGAGTAGTATATAAAATCCTATAATTCATTTTCGATAATTCTCTATAAATTGATTTATACATTAAAATGTCTTTTTATATGATTAGTTCTCAACTCATTTTCAACCACCCATGCGCTTTCTTTCTGACCTTCCAAGCACTTTTGTCTTCCTTCTTCACAATTCAGTGTGAACACGTTCTGGAGAAAAAATAAAAATAAAAAATGATGAAACCCTACCATAGATTTTTCTTATTTTGGCATCTAAAGCCCCCACCCTTTATCCATGATCAAACAGGTGAAAAGGACGAAAGCTTTCTTGGACGTTAACCGAAGTGATTACAAGTTTGAATGGATCAAACCAAATCGGGATACTGTGAATGGGTGTCGTATGAAGGTTGTGGTGTTCGTCTAAAACACTTAAGTATGAAAAAGACGGTGATGTAAATATGAAATGGGTTCAAAAAATACTAATTAGATGGCTAGAAACTTGTAACATTGAGAACCATAAAACACTAATAAATTAATTAACAGAGAAAAAATAGCATAACATAACCATTTGACGTATGTGTAAGATACAAACAATCACTTTATTTTCTTCAATTTGTAACGTCTTTTCCTTTGTGTACACAAAATTAGGGAAACTTGCTGTAACAAAAAACTACATGTTTCTATTTATTTATTTTAATAAAATTATGTATATAATTATTTATTATCAATATTATTTTTTAAAATTTATTATATAAAAAATTTATACTCCACAATCGATTATGAATATCATAATAGATTACAAAAATATTTGAAACAATAAAGACATCATTTATGTGTATAATAACATAACGTGTGTGTTCATTGCAACTTATCATTTCTTGCATGTTTGTAAAGAAGATAAAACTGTGGATCTCAAACCTCCTTTTTTCTTTTTTCTCATTTTGTATCCATCTTTAGAGACATTTTAATTCACTTTTTTCAGATTTTTTTTTTTCATAATTCAAACCAACGACTTTTCATTGTGAATATTTTTTTACACATTCTTAACCATCGTAATTTATAAACCATTGACCCAACAAAAGACTTTGACCTTAAGCAAGTCTATTTCATAAAACCATGGATAAGATTGAGCTCACCACGACGTTGACTCTCTAAGTCTTCTTACTCAGATAAACCTAATCTCACTTCTACTCATTTCAGAATTTTTATTGTTTCAAAACTCTTCTCTAAATGTACATTTTAATTACAATTGACACACTCTTATTTGCATCTATTCTTTCTTATCCATTACATTCTTTATCATATTTATTATAGTTTTTCTTTCTTTCTCTTTTGTATTTATTTATTTATACAAATAAACATTAATTGTTAACATGTTAAATTTTTACAACATACCAACTCAATTTCACATATATTCTTCACTTTCTTGGAACCCATTCTTACTTGCTTTTAGAAATACAAAGTGAATTATTCTTGGAATGTCCAACCCTAATTTTACTTAAATATGCATATAGCTATTCTTAGGTTTAGGTTAGGAGTATATTTCAAAAATTTATTTAGTAACACTTATAACAAAATTATTTGAAAAATAAAAACAATTATTACTATATGAACACTCTTAGAAGTAAGAACTAAAAAAAATAAAATTAAAAAGCTATATGGAAAAACTTTTTTTACACATTAATTTATGAACAACTAAATTTTAATTTGTAAAAAAACTCATCTCATTTTTTATTTCCTTTCATCAAAATATTTATAAAAAATTGTTATATATATATATATATATATATATATATATAACAAATTTTTATAAATATGAAAAAAACATATAGATGGAGGGTAACTCACATACAAATATTTTTATTAAATTAAACTAAATGAAATTTTAATATTATAAATTACATTTAAGTAAAATTAACCATTTGATCCTTTTAAAATATATAAAAAATTTAATTTAATCATAAAATTTAAATAAATTTAATCTTGTACTCTTATTTATTTTAAATAAATCTCTACATATTATTTTAAATAATTTTCTACATATTATCATTAAAATATAATGTAATCTCTATAATAAAATTCAATTAAGTTTATAAATAAGTATTAAATTATATTTTAATCATAATATCTGCAAATTTAATTAAAATAAAATATTAATATAAAATATAGAATTTTTTAAAATTTATTTATTTATTTTTAAAATATTAAAATTAACTAAAAATATATATAATTTTAAAATATAATATATATATATATATATATATATATATATATATAAAAGGAGATTTTATTAAAAACCGTTTAAGTGTGATAACAAAATTTCTTTTTATGTAAGGAAGGGAGATGAAAAAAATTCTTTTTTAAAATGATGAGATGTAATAAAATTTTATATCAATTAAAAATATTATAATATTATATGACATTATAGGAGTGTAATTCATAAAATTTTATATCAATTAACAATATTATAATATTATATGATTGTAATTCTTATACTACTAAATCGATTGTATGGAGTTGAATTAGATATATTATATTTTTAATATAATATTAAATTTTATCATATATATATACGTTTTTTTATAAATAATTTTAGAAGAATTAAATAATAACAAATATAAAAAATAAGATATTAAAATTATAAATATATAAATAAATATATTTAATATTTATTAATTTTAGAAAAACTAAAATCATAATTATATATATAAAATAATAATAATAAATCTAATATTTATCTTCTTCTTTTATATTATAAGATATGTTGATATTTTGTAGTGTTAGTTGAGCTTGGAATCATATAAATACAAAAAAGAGGTGGCCCACCTTTTGTGCTTTTGTGGTTGAGAGTTGTTAGGGGTTTCGAGATTACCTGCTTGAATTTTTCTTCTCTTATATAATATTAAGAAAAACAAAAACAACATTCAATTCTGTTACAAACTTTTGAAGCAATTAAGTTATTATATTAATTCTTAAACTTTGGCTATTTTTTCAACAGGTCCTGTCTATTAATGATTTTGATGAGTCATTGTTGGATGATCTCTTGTCGTAAAACTTATTCCTCAATTTATATATAATTTTTCAGAGTGCAAATTTTTATTTTATGAACACGTTTCAGAATATTTCTGAACTAAAAAATAACACCTGTCACCACCACATCATCTCATCGAAATGAAATTGATCTTGATATTTTGCTTTGGCCTTTCAATTTTCAGATATTTTTTATTGAAAAATCTTTTATGAAAATTCACGCACTTACCTACAAAAGATGCATTTAATTCCAAAAAATATGACGTTATACATAATTAGTAGTAATAACCAATGTATTATTTATGACTAATATCTTAGATAGAGATATTAAAATTAATATAATAAAGAGAAATGATACATTAGAAAACTTCAAAGATGTGACTTATAATACACTAAATTTATTATTTAATATTTAGTACAAATAAACATTTTAAAGTAAGGAAAATATTTGTTAATATGTTTAGGTTAACTGTTTGTGTTTTAAAAGGATTAATATGCAAGTTGAAATTCCTCTTAATTAATATTTATACCCTAAATGATATCATGAGAATTTGATCACTAATACTTTAGAATAGAAACAGTTATTACTTTATGAGAAGTGAATTTAATAAAATGAATTAGTCTCTAATAAATATCTTAAGGCGGTGTAATATAAAACAGATGGCGGTGTTGGTAGTAGGCATGGCAACATGGGTGGGGGTTTCGCTCCCCATTCTCGCTTTCAACTTTTTTAATCATCTCCATTTTTGTTCTCGATCCTCGTCAAAGTTAAAAATTAAGTCATTATTTCTGTCTTCACTCGAGTTTCGGATTTTCCGCTCCCGTCCCCACTCCATCCTCAATCTATATTATTTTTAAAAAAATATTACATTTATAATAAATTAATTTTATTATATATTTTTTATATAAATAAATATTTATAATTTTATAATTTATAATTATTATTAATTAAATATACATTTTAATTTATTATATTTATATTAAAATATGTATGTAAAAAAATTAATTATTTATATATAAAGAGAATATTTATAACATTATTATTATTATTATTATTATTATTATTATTATTATATTCAAATATTTGAATACTTATAACATTATTATTATAATATTGTATTCAAACATTTAATTATATATATATATATAAGTTAATTCATTTTTAATTTTTTATTTAAAAATATGGAATATATAGTTTATAAGAAAATATTTAATAAGTTAATTCTTATTTAATTAGTTTGAAATAATAAAAATTTAAATTATCAATTTCTTTTAATCCTTTAAAATACAATTATTTTATTAAGATAAAATTTGATATATGATAAATAAGAATAATAAGATAAAAAAATATGACATAATAAAACCTAATAAATATAAATTATAAATAAAATAATATTAGTTATTATTATGATTTATGTAAAATATTAGAAAAAGATAAAGAATAAATAAAAATTTACTTTATGTTCATCCAATTGATTGAAAAGATTAAAAAAATAAATAATTTGATGGGAGAAATTAAGGAAGTGTAAAAAATAGAAATGTAAGAGAGAATAATGTAATAAATTAATTGATATAAAAGATTAAAAAAGACAAAAAAATTAAAAGTGGGTAGAAGAAAAATAAAAATTGGTGAAATATTAAAAAAATAACCTTATATGTAATAGAAAAAGAAAAGAAAATATATTTAAAGTATTAATATTTTAAATTTTAAATTTTAAATTTAAATATAAAGTCAAGTCGAGTCGGGATGAGGATTGCATTACCCATCCCCGCCCGTTCTCGACTTTTTAAAACGGAAAAATCCGAACCCAACCCTATCTCCGATCAACTCAAGTTTTCCCCGTCAAACTCGGCGCGGGGATGAGTTAGACTCCAGAGTACGAGTTTAATCGTTATCTCTGTCTAATTGCTAGTGAAAAAATGGATTTTTCATAGTCAACTTAAAGTGTGAACTGGAGACACAAAACTATAAAATTAAGATAATGAAATTTTTGTTTTATATTTGATTTATTGTTTACTTAAATCCAATTTGTAATATTTTTGCCCGCAACAATGAATACAATTCCATTCACTCTTCTCTCTCAACTTTTTAAATAATTTATAAAAATAATTATTTTTAAATAATGAATAAAAATAAAAAAATTAAGAAATTTTTTTAAGATTTAAGGTGAAATTCTCTTTAAATAAACCACTTTAACCGTCACGTGGATTATAACTAAGATAGTGATTGTTACAGTAATAATTTTATTTAAAAGAATAATTAGGAAGAGTTTTCTAAGAATAATATTTTTAAATATGGACGAAAGAAAAAGCTAAAGTTGCTTGCGAAAGCTTCACGTAACCACTGTTTTTGGTCTCCTTTTTAATTTAATTTAATCTCACGTCTAATCATTTTCAACTTTTTTTCATTTTCTTTTGAAAGAACACACTTTTTTCAAAATGAAATCTCTTTTTTTTTTTTCATGTCGTCATTTTAAATACATATAATAATAATCTTAGCAGTTATCAGTCTTTTTCACACAAAGAAAAAAAAAAATATATATATATATATATATATATATATATATATTACATGACTATATAAATTTATAAGCTCTATATAAGAAACTATAAAAAAATTGTAAAAAAAGAAAATGTTTAATTATCTGTCATATTAAATTTTGTTCATAAAAAAAAAACCACAAACTACATAAATTAGTTTATGTGCAAGCCAAATGTGTAAGAATACATATTTTATTTTCTTTATTTTGAAAGTACATATGATGATAGTTTTTAGAAAGATCTAGAGTGATTAATTTAAATACTTGTATATTAAGAAATCTAATTAAAAATTATTGTTCCATAGTTAAATATAATGCAAGATATATAACTTCAAAATGCAGTGACACACAACACATGCATATAATTAAGTTTGGTTTAATTAATGTTTTATTTTATGTCGTTATTATTTTATATCGACATGCTATATTCACCCTTTCGTCATCAATATATATAAAAAATTAATATGATAAGTTAGAACTATTTGGGTCGATGTGAATTTTCTTTTGGGTACTTTGAGTATGTGATTTTTCTTGCATTATATTATTAAGCTAAAAAAAATAATATTAAAATTATCCTAAACCATTAAATTTTTGCAAACGTCATTCACTTTATAATATTATAACATTTATATTATTTCAGATACAACAAAAGGAGGAGCCGCCATAGTTGAAATTATTTTCGCTGGAACTGAACCAGTCACCATAGATTTATTTTTTTAAAGCTTAAACTACATTTATTTTGAGAAATAAATTGTACATAAATTGAGGAAAAAAAAGTGTTTTTGCAAAAAAAATTTCTGTATCAAATCTTGAAGTTAGTAAAAGTCTTCTTAAATTTGTTTTTGTAATTTTTTTCATATCTAATGCTGAAGTTAGTAAAACTTGTAGTAAATAGAGAAAAAAAAGTGTAAAGTGACAATGAATAGAAATAAGCAAAAAATAATATGTTTTTTTATTTGATTACAAAGAAAATAACAAAAAAAAAATGTAAGTTTTCCTATGAAAGATATGTTTACTTTTTCATAGTACAAACAAAAGTAAAAAGTAAAAAAAAATTATAAAATTATTTTTACTTTGATTATTTATTTTTATATTTATAATTTTAATATATATATATATATATTTAATTATTATTTTAATAAAATATTATAAATATAAAAATATTATAAAAACTAAATAAATAATTTAATATATTTTTTTATTTGTTTATAATATGATATTATTTTATTAATTTAATTGTTTCAAGAATCGTGAAAACGTACAAAGTTTTAATTCCTCAATATTTCAATCAATAATAATAATAATAATATTCGTAAAAAAAAATCTATTGCAATTATTTATCCAGATGAAAAACTTACTGATAGGATTAACGGACACTTTATATAAAATACAAATCCTTAGATATATTATAATTATATATCAAAATCTATATTATTAAAAAACAAAATACATAATTTAAAGGTATTATTTTAAAAAGTTGATTTATTATTAAAAAATTATAGTTATATAAATAATTTTATAATTAAATAAAAAAATAATTATTATTTTTTCAAATAAATATTTTCTTTAATTTTTATGTTAATTTGCTCTTAAATATTATTATTAAAATTTTTAAGAAGGGATTAGTAATAACACGTAGAGTTTAATCAGGTGGTTAGGTAAACATAAAAAAATTATGAAATTATTTTCATATTAAAATTTTAAAACAATAAATATGTGATATTCTCCATTTATATATTATTTAACTTGATATTTTTATTCCACATATTTACCTAACTTAGAACTTGTATTCACATGCCAATTTTAAGAGTCATAAAATTAAAAGTGGTCACACATCGTCTAAGCAAGCAATTCTGCATCTAGTAAGCAAATGTAACTCCTCTGATTTCAAAATTCTATGAAAATCTTATACACACTAAATCAAAATCTTATACAGAATACCAGTATGTCAGATTTCATAGAATAAGAACGTTCTTATACAATGATAACAACAAAAGTTCAAATCCAAGACATGATGAAAACTTCTCAAATCTTTCACCGATTGTAAATACAACTACAACATTATCAACCCATCTGCAAAATTATGAACCTTAATTAGGAGAAACTACTGTATATTCATTCTGGAATCATCATAATTCTGAACAATCTTTATGACATAATATAATTAGAACTATGAACACGAGATGATAATTCGAAACTATCTAATAATTTCTCCTTCATTGGGCCACCTAGTTTTCACCATCTTCTTCCTGCCAGATATCTACCCAATTTTTCTGAATCTGTTCCACCCCAAGAAAAGAACCTTCCTTTTCTGCATCCAAACTTGCAGACAGTGCCCCATATGCAATCCCAACAGAGGAAGCTCCAAAAGTCAAGAATGTAGACATAAAGCCTAACCACTTTGGTGCATCATACACTTGGTTTTCCCTAAGCACCCCAAAAATGTTCAAGAAGACCAACCCCAACCCCATTGGCACCCCCACAGAGAACAAGATCCTACGTATTATCCTATATATAACTTTCCTGGGAAGCTCATCATCGTTGTTTTTCCTTCTCATAGGCCTCTCATTGACATCACTTCCAACAGGTGGAGGAGTGGAAGAAAAGCCTTTGGCACTAGCACAAGGCTTTAATGTGCTGAAGGGGTAGTTGAGCTTTTGTGTGGGGTAAGAAGCTGGAAAGTTTGGTTTGCATGGAGAAAGTTTTGAGAGAATGAGAGATGAGTTTGGTGCACAAATCAGAGTTTTCATGGCTTCTTTTGTTGTGTTTGGCAGTTCATCATGCTTGGAGTGTAGATATTTTATTGATGTATATCTTATCCATAAAGTAAATGGTTGGTCATGAGATTCATAGCTTTTTGTCATTATATCTTGCGATATTTGTTATAATAATATCAATGTTTTTAAATTTAAATTAATCTTTGAAGAGGTGAATATGAGGAAAGGATTAAATCTATGGTTTTTAAATATAATTATTACACAAAATGTGTTTGATACAAATAAAAATTAAAACTATTTTTTAACTCAAATTCAAAACCTTCATACTTTCAACAACCAAACAGGAAAAAAATTGTCTTTTAAAATGAATACTTTTAACTTTTAACAATGATCTTTCCCACTATCTTATATAATAATATATTATGTAACAACTTTTGCAATGAATTAAATTTTATTGTATCTAAATCTTGAAAATCAAAACCATGATGTCGTGAACTTCTGATATCTTCATGTCACCAGGACTAAATAAAATAAATATTAAAAAATTCTTCATCGATGACCAGAACCAGAAGCCCTCGTTGATGATATTGATTGTGACGTAAGTGACTGCAGCAGATTAATTCTAATGCTGAATACAAGAAAAATGAAGCATGGAATTTGTCAATTTCTATCAATTTATTTGGGGAACAGAAATGAACGAGGTAGCTATTAAAATTCAATGCCAATTTACTCACTTCTTTTGAACGTGAACATATTCATCAGTTTCATCCAGTATGTCTCCCTTGTAAATGATAACAATAGATAGCAATCAGTTTGGTAAAAACATGATAAGCTTGATATTTCAAAAATGATGAAACATTTCACTAAATCAAGTTGATTAGTTCGTAGCTCAAAAATTTAAGATATTATAATGCAAACCTACAATTTTACTCAACATAATTTTCTCCTGAATTGAACCTAACCATTTGTATTATCATCAACTAAAAAAGAGAGATCTTATCTGGTTTCACAAATAAGAATATGAAGTGTTTTCTGCATTATTAGCATTATAGTGTAAGCCACCATTCTAACCTGTAACAGTTCTTCCATGACATCTTCCATAGTGATGATGCCAATAACCTCGTCATCTATAGTATCTGGAAGAGAATCTATTTGTTCTTGTGAGAAATATTCATTTTCTTGACTCCCTTCACTGTCTATTTCCATTACATTTTTTAATGTTGGACTATGAAATTCCACGTCGCCTGAGTTTAAACAGGATTCATGTACAGAACTTGTCTGACTCATTTCAAGGACAAAGGAAGAATCAGATTCTGCAGATTCCAGATTGACAAACATAAATGATTTATTCTCTTCCAAGAAAGAAACTAACTTCTTCCTACTTTTGTTTTTCAATTCATCTTAACTTAAATGTTGTTTGGTTTGTTATGATACCATGGCTGAATTCTGTAAGATGTTACCTCCAACAACTTGAGCCGGATTTGATATTTTCTGTGTAATTAAATTCAAAAAGGTGGGTGCACCAGTGCTCTCTGTCTCCTTGTTGGACTTTAAGACAATAGCCATATGACTGTGACCCTTCTGGAATTGATTCAATATCTCGTATAGTGGCCAACTTTCATAAACCCTGTCACACAATTATTAAATGAACAATATCTTGTAGTTAGTATGGTAGTGACTACTAGTACTGCATCATTGAAGATCAGAACTTCCAATCCATATGTACAATTGTTTTACATGTACAACAATGTTTTACATCCATTAAATACTTTACATACAATAATATAATAAGATTTCAGGTTCAAGTCATATAAATAGGCCTATCAGGTTCTCTTACAGAAATCAATTATTAGTAAAGTTGATGATACTTAGGATCATTATCACCATGACTCAAAAACATTAGTATGTATGGAAAGGAGATAGTATATCTGACGTTCAGACGTCTCAGATGGAATATGGCTTATATATTCATGTCAAGTTAGCTCTATTACCTTGGAATTTTCCTAATAATCAAATTCTTTATTGGGGTCTCATCTTCTGGACGGCAGAATATCAAGTTTTTAACCTGTACAGTGAGAGCTCATAGTAACACTAATGAATACAAAATATTGAAAAGAAATGTTGAGAAACAAGAAAATGTAGTGCAAGCAACAACATTGTCTCAAATGTCAAATGGAAGCTTTCTCTTTTGCCTTTATTAATTGATATGAACATAACGACAATACTATACTTCCCAAGTTTATATACTAAAGATGTATCGCAGAAAGTACTGGAATCCGTTATATTTCCCATTTGTTATACGTGCTTCTTCAATTTCTTACCAATATAAGGCCAATGATATTTTTTGGGTGTCCAGAATGGATAGGTATTCGACTGTGACCTTTGCTAAGTATTTGTGTCATTGTATGCCTGATGAAAAAGGTGAACTGCATTTATAGATGAAAATTTGTAGAAAAAAAGTTTATGTATGTGACTTCAAAGTTGAGTTATGACATATTACATGTCAAGTTTAGAGTTTATATCTAGAGAAAAAGTTTGAGATATGGGTGTCATTGCATCTTTAGCTGTCTTCTGAGTCAAATCTATAGCACCTGTGATTATAGAAGTTTCATGATGTGACAATTCTCCACCTTTCCCTGCCTGCATATGAATATTTTAGCAACTAATCTCACACTTATGAAATAGTCCAGAGAGAATATACTAGGAGGGAAACCTCATTTGCATGGAAGTCCACAAATGTCTTCAACTCTGACCTTCTTAATAGAACTGAATGTTCTTTCCCTAGAGCCCAATCTAGCACCTGCCAAAATAGAAAAATACTTGAAGATATATGAATTAAAATTTTCTCAAAAGATGAGTTTTACAGGAAAATCACCTTAGATAGATGTACTCATGAATTTTTCCTTGAGAAACTGAAGTAAATGTGTCTACTCTCTAATTCTATATTTTTTTAGTTTTTCTTTTTGTGCATGTACAATGAGTTGCAGAAGGAAGCAGTTCTGTTATTTTTAATATGGTGCAATGAATCATCAATTTCAAATGCAATGTGTGACAATGACATTGAATAACAAAATAAATATAGAAACAACCACAAACATGACATAAAATTTACCTTACTAGCAGGATAGGTTATAGGGAAGAAGATCAGCAGAAGCAGTTGAACAATGGGAGCCATTTTTGCTCCTAAAATTAGTCCATATCGAGAGCATACAGCTTGAGGTAAAATCTAAGATAATAAATGTGACATCAGTTAAGATAAAAAGGTGCCTTATTTCAACGTTGTTTGTAGGTGCATCTTTCAAAACAAACATTACCTCTGCAAACACAGTCACCAAGGGTGCTGACATGAGAATAGTAAACCAAGTAGGGATGATTGAGTCCATAAAAATTGGCAGTGCCTTGAACAAGAACAATCACTTTTTTTAAATGAAGAAAATCATGCAGGGTTCCTCCTTGCATAAGCATATAGCATACAAGTAGTGTGAGCAATTTTCTTTATAAACACTTCATGTCAAAAGGGATTTATCTAAAGGAACATTTTAGACGAAGAAAGTAAAAACCATTTCTAGGCCGTGTATAATTACTTCAACATCTAGTATATGTGTTTCTTTAAGTTTAATAACCACATTAATTACATATTCTATATAAAAATACCTCCATAGCCAGTGATTTTCCTAGAAGCAGGGTACACAGGACAAAATGTCCATTCTTTACCAAAGGTTGAATCCTTTCTACAGATAAAGTAAGATGGTAATGACAATTATGATTGAAGAGCTTAAAAACTGCATAATGTAGTGATATGTGTTGTGATGGTAACCTGCATGCTTTCTGTCTTTTGGAAGGCCAGCTTTAACGAGGACCTCAAGATCAACTTGTCTGAAGGACAGTAGTGCTAGAGCTAGGCCTGATGCAATACCTGCCAGTGACACAAGCACTAGACATATCATAAAATAAACCCAAAAGTCAATCTCACAACATGGAAACTGATATTCTCTCATTGTGTGAATGCATAAAGTATACCAATGTTGTGGAGTATGGTGAAAATGTAGCCATATTTATTGAGTGGTTTCACTCAATGGCTTGGCTTTTGAAGAGAACTGGTCATGATGCGTAGGGACAATGAAGAAGAAGATAGAAGATAGATACAAAAAAATTCGGCCACAGAAACAAATCACATTCGGCTCAAAGATGCTATGAATATGTAGATTCTGAGAAAAAAAAATGGCATTTCAAATGGAATGATGTACAGGAATATCACTCTTCAAATACAAAACTACATATTAAAAAAAATCTATTCTATTAACATCAGCCCTCAAAAGATTTATAAAGATACTTTTATTAAAATTTTGTTTAGTGACAGACATAGAGGGAAAAAAGTTTAGGGGCTACAAGCTGAATCATGGTGGAGATATCATAGTGAAGACTTTGACTAGAAAAGAAAATGAGACTAGAATTTAAGGGTTGACAAAGACATTCCAGATACATATCATGATGTAATGTAAATCTTCAGTGGTTTAAGCAATAATTTAACTCCCCATTTTTTGTTTTTGGCCAAAGGAAACAAATCCTTTGACTCAGGATTGAAGCTATACTCTCATTAGTTAAGACAACTCTTGAGTACTAATTTTCGTGTAATTAGTTTTAATTTATTTTGTGCTGGTTGAGCAGAAAATTAAAATTCCAATAATATATATGAAACTTTATCAGAGCCAATGGAGAGTTACTTATATGAAATTTAGTTAATGAATAAAAATTGCCTTGTCATACACGGTAGACGGCCTTAGAAAATTTGCTTAGTTTGTCTATAAAAGGAAATTATCTAATTACAAGAAAATAAACTTTTTGTACTTTGTTTTTATAAATAAATAGTTTTACTGCATATAAAGAATGGTTTTGGAGAAATCTCTTCACACACTTATTTCCCTTCAGTTTTCAACTTCTGCAATCACAATCCACACAATAAAACTGATGGAGAGGGACAGGATCAGTGAGTTGTCTGACTCCATTTTGCTCCACATCATGAGTTTCATGAACACAAAATACGCTGTTCAGACTTGTGTCTTGTCTAAAAGATGGAATCACCTTTGCAAACTACTCATCAATCTTATCTATTCTCCTATTCCTAATCTCCCAAAGAAAAATGGCGTTGAAAGGTTTAAGAAATTTGCAACCTGGGTTTTGTCTACTCGAGATCACTCTTGTTCCGTACATAGTCTTCGTCTTCACCTTTGTTGGACTGACCCTGAACTCTTAGATAAAATCATTAAATATTCTTTGTACTGTAATGTGCAACAGTTAATTCTAGATGTGTACTCAGGCTTTAGACCTGATTTTGAGTCCCTCCCTTTAATCTTTTGTTCTCAGTCTTTGACATCTCTCAAGCTTTGCATTGCATGGAACTATGCCGTCATAGTACTTCCAAAATCTCTCCACTTGCCTGTATTGAAAAACTTGCATCTTCAATGTGTAATATTTACAGCAAGTGATAATGATTCAGCTCAGCCTTTTTCGAATTGCCACTTGTTAAATACTTTGGTCCTAAGATATTGTTCTTTGCATGGTGATGCACAGATGCTTTGCATATCTAATTCTACCCTTTCTAGTTTCACAATCTATGAAGGACAAACTTACCAAATTCTGCTTTCTACTCCAAATCTAAGTTATTTTACCATCCGGGGTTCTGCTAGTCACCAACTCTTCTCCAGATGCAATCTTTCTTTTCTTGATGAAGTAAATATTGACGTGTCTTGGGATGGAAGTTGGGCTGAGAAAAGTTCAATCATCAGTTCAAACATCATGAGATGGCTGCAAGTGCTTGCCAATGTAAAAAAATTGACCTTTTCTTCTTGGTATCCCTTTCAAATAATGTTACATGTAAGTTAATTACTTCAGTATGTTTTTCTATTTCTTTGTTCTTAATGTTCATAACATGTTTGCATTCATGATGTGCCTGTTTTCCATCTTGCATTTCAAATATCCATTTAATTGTGTCTCCCATTCACTTCAATTATGTAGGATTTCTCTAATCCCCTTTCAATGAGACCTGAATCTCCGAGCTTAGTTAGATTGGAGTCATTGAAAGTGATTAAACATTTCTTTGTGGACGTATCTGATGAGAAAGTAAACACATTAGTGGAGTACTTGCTACAGGGCTCTCCAATGGCCAAAGTTGACATCATAACAAGGGATTAATTGAATCCATGCTTAGTTGTTTGATATAAAATTTTGGAGACCACCCAGTTTTGTCTATTTTCTGCTTTCTTTTCCTTGTCCTAAATATACACTTTTGTGTAAATTATAGGTAACAATATTGTTTGTGCCTTGTTTACAACGTTTGTAAGTACCTTGTTTGTAACGTATATTCAACACTCTTCTCTTATCTTGGTTGAATCATTCTATGACTTTGGAGATCGTGACCAACATCATTTGGATTGATGAAGTAACAAATATATTGGACGATCTCAAATATCAATTCCCCCGAAGTGATTTCGTTCAAAAATCTCACAGATTTCGTAATAATTTGTATGCAGTCAAACAAGATGGTTCTTCTGTCATGTCTGATTTTACGAAATTTAAAGTTCTTCATGATGAATTGTACGATTTCTCCCTTTACCTGCACTATTAAATGTATAAGACTGCACTATTATATGTATGAATGAACCAGAACAAGGAACTCGCATGATCAATTTGTTCCTTTATATTGTCTCTACATGTAAAAAACTATTTTCCTAATAATGAATATAATTTTGATAATATTTATTTAATATCATGATAAATGTTTCCACTAAAACTCTCTATGGAAAGATCACCAAACCAAATTGAAAAAACTCTCACAATTGTCACTTGTAAATTTCAAACATCTAATATTTTTTTAAGATGTGTATATAAAGAAGAACTTTTTAAGGACATAATAATAAAAAAAAAGTTGTGTGTTTCTCTTAGGTAAATCTCTATCCAATTATTATAATGATGTGATCCTACCTTGTGTAAAATCCAATATTTTTAGGGTATATAAAACTAGTATTTTTTTTATTGTCTTATATGTCGATAGAACCTCAAACTAGTTAGTGAGGTTACCTTTTTGCATATTATTACTGAATGGTTAACATATGAGTAAAAAAAGACAGAAAAAAAAAAGTAACTGAATGAATTTGTAGTTTCTTGACACCTTGATGCCTTTATCAAAGGATAAAGATAAAGTGTCAAAGGTAAAAGAAAAAGGAAGAAGAACTGGCAGGTATCTACAAGTCCCTTTTCCTTTCTTCCCTTAGTGGGACCAAAATGAATTTTGAACAGCATTTTTCCTCTTTTGTGTTTACTAAACACTAGCGAAAACAATGTACATATGCATCATTTCCTCATCTTTTGACTGGTGAGTATTTTTGCAACAAATGTTTCAAACCATACTCTAATCTTATAATATATATAAAATGCTGTTATTGTATTACTCTAACATTCTTCATCAGAATTTCCCCCCAAGAAGAATCCACCACAGAATATCTTTTTCTTTTCTACCCCACAAGTTTCCCGCTCTTGAACTTCCTCCAAGGAAGAAAACTAGTTGCCATATATATATATATATATATATATATATATATACACACACACACAAAGAACACCTTCACTATTTGCTTCACAGTTCACAAAGATTTTTCAAGTCCATCCAACATGGGAAACTGCTTGTTGGGAGGCATGTCAGATCCTGAAACAGTAATCAAAGTCACAACATCTGATGGTGGCATCATGGAATTCTACGCTCCAGTTACTGTGAGTTTCATCACCAATGAATTCCCAGGGCATGGCATATTTCTAAGTCATGACCTGTTTTGCAAACCACTTAGCCAATTTGATGAGTTGGTGGCTGGACAGTCGTACCACTTACTACCACTTAACAACCAACCGGAACACCCTCCGGCCACCGGCCACATTGGCAGTGACAACCGCACCGCCATTCGACAAGGCCATGTTCGTTCTCATAGTGTTCCTACAACCCCCTATCCTCCCCCTTACAGAATGTCCTTGGACTACCAACACCACCAAGGAGTGAGGTTTCTCAACAAAACCTCTATAGAACCTTTCTCTTGTAGGACTAGTACCAGTAATACTAGAAAATGCAGTATTATTACTAGTACTAGTAGTAAAAGCAGCAGGTTCTGGAAAGTGAGGTTGGTGATAACTCCTCAACAATTGATGGAAATTTTGTCACAAGAGGCTAGAACCAAGGAGTTGATAGAGAGTGTTAGGATTGTAGCCAAATGTGGGGTTGCTGCTGGTGGAATTTTACCTGCATCTGCTGCAGCAAGCATAGTGAGTGATCAGTGGAGCCTCTCTAGCAGTGGTAGAAGTGCTTGTGATTCCTCTAAGATTGATGCATTGGTGGCTGACATTTAGTATAATGCCTGAAAAGGATTAGCATCCCAGTTTCACTCTTTCTTTCTGTCTCTGCCTCTTTGTATTTGGTTACTGAGCTCTTTTTTTCATTGTCATATTGGTTTCTTTGTTGATTTATTTACCTGTAAAATTTCAGTTTAGACACATTCTGTCATATCATATTGTACAGTGTCTGTGAAATTGTCTACTAGTGGTTGTGGCATGTGCACAAATGTGTGAATCTTTGTTTATATTTTTCCCTGTTTGGAAGAATGCCAAATCAAGCAGAATTTTGCCAACTGATTAATGGCTTATAGCTATTCTGGTTAAACTTTTGCAGAAATGCTGCTTAGATTTGAACCTAAAATGATTAATTGATATAGCAGTGAATGTTGTCAACATTTTTTGAAACTTTTCTAACACCCTCTTTTATTTAGTCATGTTGCATACTTTTTAACATATTCCTTTTAATAATGATATATTGATATTTCTAACATTACTTTAAAAAGAATATTGAAAGCAAACTAAAATCACTAATATTTTAAACACATTCTATTATTGTGTGATGTTCCACCCTTGCTTTGCAAAGAATGTGCTGTAAAGAGTAAGTTCAACCCCATTAAAATAGTTCTGTAAAGTACTATGTTCTAGTATTCCTCTTAATACAACCAAAATGTCTGATAAACTGCAACATCACACAGCAATAAAATATCATTACTGAGAACTTTAAAGCCTTCATATACCCACTGAAAGATAAATGTGTGTGATCATTAGCTGGTAAAGGAACAAAATGAGTTTCGGCATGATAGAGAAGCACAAACTTTGTCAAGAACACTAAAACTTAATTGTGGTGTTCAGTTGCTATAAAATAAAATAAAATCTTCATTTTTTATTTTTAGAAAATTCAAAATTACTTTGTTTAGTTATTATTGTGAATTGGTTTCAATCAAACAAAATATATATGTTTTTAATTTTCATCCTCAAAAAACTTAAATAATTATTTTTAGTCTATAAGATCAATGTTATGATAGATAAATAGTATTTATTTTTATAAATTAAAAAAAAAGATGCTATATTTTGTTATTATATTATAGTATTGAAGTGTTATTTAAAATGATTAGTTGACATTTTATTTAACATATAAGTAATTAACTAGTATTATAGTATTATGTACTATTGCATCATTAATTATATAAACTATAATTCTAACTAGGTTATCACGATAACGTGTGTTGATTAATTATATGGGGCATTCATGATATTATTAACATGACTGTGTGAACATAGAACACTTGCGTCTATTACTTCCTAGTATCAAATTATAAAAAATTTGAGAAAAATGAAATCAATTTACAATAAAGTTAGAAATTAAACTTTAAAAATACTAATATAAAACAAATTCTACAAATTATATTGTATATAAAGAAACAATAAAATTAACTTTGCTATTGACAAATAAATCAGAGAATTATAAGAAAAAGTTTTTTCAGATTAACTTAACAGTATATATATATATATATATATATATATATATATATATATATATATATATATATATCTAGAAGTTTTCGTAAAAAAATCTTGTTCAAATGACTAATCACAAAATAAATTCTTTTATGCTTTTATTTTCTTTTATCTAAACTATTTTTTATTTTTTACATCATTTAGAGTTAAAATCAAGAATATTTTATATACATATTTCTTCCTATCGTAACATCTTTTTAAGAGCGGATAATATTTCGCGTATCGACACTCTCTTTTCCCGAAACACAAATCATTGCCGTCTTTCACTAAAACATTTGATGTGTTCTTTTAATATATCCACCAAAAAATCAAGGGAATATTGTCGGAAATATAAACTCCCCTAGATAACCAATGCGTGTTGCTTGCTACCTTCAGCATAAACTTCTCAGTCTTTAATTGAACTAATTTGATTATTGATTGAAATTATTTAAAATCAGATTTTAAGTATAAACTTCTCAGTCTTTAATAGAACTAATTGTCGGAAATATAAAATCAAGGGAATATTGTCGGAAATTTTTCTTTCTCCTTTTTTTAGATTTTTTACTTTATTTTGTAGCTGAGTAAGTCAGATTAGTGTAAAACTATTGTATTCTTATCTCTGAATAAAAGAAAGTATTGGACCACTCTTCAAGTCAACCAAATAGGTTACAATTTTTTTTATCACATTTTTAAGGAGACAGTTCAATTATATTTTAGTTTTCTCAATTGGACAGCACTTTTACAAGTCAAATTTATCATAAAGAATTGAAACCCTTTGAAATCTGTGTCAAATACACCTTTCAACTTAATTCTGTTCTGTCAATTGTTAAACTTTGCCTCTTAGAAATCTCCCAAGAGTTAGGAATTCATTATTTGGGACCTTTGATCCTGATGTTGGGGTACCCCACTTTTATATTGAGTTATCTGCAGGCAATGGCATCCTGCACAGAGTTATATACTTGGCTTTTGCTAATATTCTGCCTTGTTACATGTCATGTTGCAATTTTTGTCATTCATTTTTTCATTTTGCTTCTCCAATCCAAAGAAGAAATGAGTTCATATTTTGAGGAAAGGGCACCTTGTTGTGGATCTCACTTTTGGATTTTGGTAAGCATGTGTTGGGCTTTTGTGTTATTTGCTGCTACGACATCTGGTCTTGCTCTAGGACTCTTGTCCTTCAGCCAAGTTGATCTTGAGGTTCTTGTTAAAGCTGGGAAACCTCAAATTCAGAAAAATGCAGGTAGTTGATTGCTTTTTGTTTAGGGTAATTTTCTTCATTTAAGAGTACCATAACACTCAAGAAAATAAAAAGCTTAGCCATGTGCATGTTGTTATACAAATTTAGTAAAAAGTTAGGATAAGGGTGTGATAGAACATGATATGGTTATAACACATCAAACATTATATTTGGTCTAATAAAACATATAAAAGACCTAAAACAAACTAAGTCATCATATGGTCTCATGAATAAAAGACAATTGGGTCACCACAAAATTGAGGAAAATGTAGAGAAAGATAAATTTTTATTTTCAAACAAACTTGCATTTATCAGTAAAATCAAATTTTATGGTGTGCATTGACTTCAAGGTTACACTTATAACGAGAAGTTATTATTGAAGAGGAAATTTGGGGTATGAAACTCAACTATTTACTGATTCATCTTGTTAAGTGATGAACACATTTTTTTATCTGCAGCGAAGATTATGTCAATTGTTAAGAATGAGCATTTACTTTTATGCACCCTCCTCATAGCTAAATCAGTGGCAATGGAGGTATGTTACTCAGATAATTTCAAGAACCTTAATCTGATTTGAAGTAAATTTCTGTATACTGATAAATGAAATCAGAAGTTTATCTGTGTGACCATATATTAATCCAAATCCAAACAAACCTTTGGCATGATTAATCTAAAATGCACAAGAGTGCTTTTATTCCTTTAATCATCTACTACGAAAAATTATATGGCCTTTTCAGATTCAATACATGCTTATGATTGAGCACTACTGACAAGAAAAATTGTGTTATTCAAGGGGGTTTCTGTTTTTATGGAGAAAATGTTCCCAGAGTGGCTTTCCGTATTAATATCAGCCACCATTTCGGCTATCATTGCAGAGGTATAGAAATATTAACTTAAATATCAATATATTTAGTTACACACATACATTTATATCCTTTTTTCACTTTCTCTCATCCAAGACTTTGATCTCAGATTATCCCTCAAGCCTTGTGTTCTCGGTATGGTTTAAGTGTTGGGGCAACATTGTCTCCCTTTGTTCGAGTTCTTATGCTGATTTTCTTCCCAATTGCATATCCACTTAGTAAGGTACTCCTATCTTTACTGAATAAGAAGTTACCACAAATTGTCTCACTGACTTGGCCATATCTTAGAATGAGAGGCACAAAAATAGAATCTGCAATGAACTAGGACAACCTTTGTTGAATGACTAGACTCAAACTATTCCCATAAATTAAGATGTTAAATAAATCAGGATCTTTAGTTTGTAATCTATATTAGGATCCTTGCTAAGATAATTAGACAATGTCTATCATCTATAACAATAAAAATATAGGAAAATCCCCCATTTACACTTTTTACTCTTTAACTAGTATTGTATTGCAAATTATCTCACTATTTTATTTCAACCTCTCACATTAATTACTTTCTTTGAGAGAAGAAATTACACCAACTATACATATGCAACAAATCCAACTCCAAGATAAAGAAATGTTCAGACTTCACCAGTAATTCAAGAATGATATACTTTTTAGTTATTGGGAGAATCCAAGTACTCTATTTCAGATCCAGAAAAGAACTCAACATGACAATATGATAAACAACATAAAGCATAAATTTTATCTTGTAAGAGTTTAATTTTCTTTGATTTATATGCTGGAAAATCCTGCTATGGTAGTTGTTGGATTGGGTTCTTGGCAAAGGGCATACTTCACTTTTAGGACGAGAAGAGCTGAAGATTTTAGTCCATTTACATGCCAATGAGGTTAGCTTGTTTTATTGGCTAAAGAATTTTGATAACATTTTGTTGTGATATGCTCAAGTTCACTATCAGGCAGGGAAAGGTGGAGAATTGTCACTTCATGAAACTAAAATAATTGCTGGAGCTTTGGACTTAACACAGAAGACTGCTAAAGATGCTATGACACCTTTAAGTGAAACGTTTTCTCTTGACATAAACTCCAAACTTGACATGTATGTGCCTCATGTCTATCTCTGATGTTTAAGCATTATTTTACCTAAACTTCAATTTTCCACTCTTTAGGCATACAATGGGCTTAATAATGAGCAAAGGCCACAGCCGCATACCAGTCTACTCTGGAAAACAAACAAATATTGTTGGTATCATCTTGGTAATCAATCAGTTTGATATGTTCAAGTTTGTAGCAACTTCTATTTGGATCATTTTCTGAGGACCTCATTAATTGATTAAACATGTAGACATTTTCATCTGATATGCAAAATGTTTATCCAATACAAGTGCAGTCATTTCAATGAAAAAGAACAGTATATATTGTGCGGTTTTACATGGCACTTTGGATACCCTTCAAGTAAAAAGTATTTATCAAGTAAAAAAAATAAAATAGGAAGGGTTTACGTTTCTGAACAATAATCAAACCTTACTTCATGTTGTATATGACAGAACTATCTGTTGAACCTTGATTTAGGTCAAGAATTTAATCTTCTGTCGTCCTGAAGATGAAACACCAATTAAATATATGACTATCAGGAGAGTTCCTAGGTACGAAACTTCTTTCCCTATTTCGCTGATGATAGAGTAACTTTGAAAGGAACATATATTTATTATAGGAAGATAACAATGATGAAGGTAAAGGCAAAGATGAAAAAAGAAAGAAAGGAAAACACAACATAACTATTTAGCCACCATAAAGTTCATGTGTTCAAAATTACTAATGGATTAATCTCAGTAAGTATCTGAGTAGAGCTTATAATGCTCCACTTTGGTTATTAGAGTTGCTGAAGATTGGCCACTGTATGATATCCTGAATCAATTCAAGGATGGTCAAAGCCACATGGCTGTTGTGCTCAAGTGTGAAGAGAACATCAGAACCGCTCCAACTGAGAGAGAAGGCAAAACTCCAGGTCTGGTTATACACATACAATTCACATTCAAAATCAATACCATCAAGAAGCCAAACCCAGATCCCATAATCAGATTCATTTTTTGCAACAGCAAAGTTATTAGGAGTCCAATAATATATGTTTTTTGGACTTTGATAGATATAAAACCATGCCTCAAACATGCCTAAAAGGTTTTAGGGTAGTTGGTTCTTGCAAGCATCTAAGGTTGTTGCTGTGGACTTTATAGGACTTGGCTCTTCATGTGAACCGGGAGACTATAGTCACATCTCAACTGATGCATCATATTGGCATTCAGAAGAAACAGAATATTATAGTGCAACGCTGAAGAGTGTCATGAATCGAGACGGTGACTCAGATCTTCCCCATAGAAGATCAGAACAACCTGATGCAAGTTCATCCTTTGAGAATGTGGAATCTCTTCCAACAACAGACGAGGAAGTGATAGGGATAATCACATTGGAAGATGTCATGGAGGAGTTACTTCAGGTTAATGTTACTGACTATGATCCATATATACTCCCTTGGAAATTTGGTTTTCAATTCAATAGTGAGAGCCATTTTACACTTATATAGCTATATTGTCACTCACAACAAGAAAAAATGGTTGTTAGTTTACACATCTAATCATAACTTGTCAGAAAGATAATTTTTTGTAGTATTTACTTTCATACAAAACTTATTTCTAATTTATAGTGTCAAATTCTTTATATTGATGGTACATGAAAATTGAACTCTTCATCATTAATGTGAAACACTTAGAGATAAACATCTATTACTCAGCTACTGATTTTCTTTTTCCAGTATTGTAAGATTGCTAATATTTTTGTTGTTTTCATCATTCAAGGAAGATATATTGGATGAAACTGATCAATATGTTGATGTTCATCAAAAGTGAGTACAATTTCAAAACTCCAACTTCAAAATCAATGTATATGTTATTGAATGATTGATTCTCTATGTTATTTCAGTATCAAAATAAAACTGCAACATGCAAGAAGAATGTCATCAGGGTCTTCCAGAAGGGCTTCAAGTTCTCGTCCACAACGAAGAAGTTCAGACGCATCTCGAGTTTTCTTTTTAACTCCTACATATGTTTTACCTGTTTCTCCATAGCCAAAAATATTCACCACCCATGTTTCTCCTCAAGAATGTTTGTCCTAAATTTTTATGAGGAGTATTAGTTATGAAATTATGTGCTGCCTCTTTATTTTTGTTCAAGAGGATATATATTAATGTATAAAAAATAGTATAAATTTGAAAATTTATAAGATTTAACTTTTACTTGTAAATATTATTTTATTACTAATCAATCATAAAATTTTAGTTAAAAAAGTTTTGAAGCGGTTATTACAAAATTAGCAAAATTGTCGTAAGAATATTCTTTCTACTTTTAAATGATGTTTGAAGATAATTAATTTCCAATTAAAAAAAGATAATTAGGAAGTGTTTAAAATATTATATTTTGAGATGTCTATAAGTTCTCTCTTATAAGTTCTATATTATCACCCATATTAAGTCAAAATACGATATTCGAATCTTCTTAATTTTATTATATATTTTTTTAGTTAAAAAATGTTAGGGAAAATCTTATATGATTTATTTCTTTAATATTAAAAAGATATAATTTATATATTCAATGGATCATTTCACTTAATAATAATTAATATTATTTTAAAATTTAATACATTATTAAAGTTTCCTTAATCTAATAATTTAAAAATTGACATCTTATTAAAGTTTTCTGATGTATCATAGGATGTATTTTAGTCAATGGAAAATGTTAAAAAGAATCATCGTTTGACTCGGTTATCTAACAATGACAAATATTGGGTCGGGTTTAGATTTTCCGCCCAATGTTTAATCATATCGACCCGATCCATATAGCCCGAAACGATCGGATCCGGTGCAGAACCCTCCGTTCGATTTTCTCTCCGAAATTCAAATTCCCGCTGAAAAGCGAAAGTACAAATTCCCCCATCGAAAAATTCAGATTCTCAATTACCAGAGAAAGAAAACAAAACGAAAATGTCGTCATCAACCACCCCAAGCAGCAGCAACATGAACGACGTTGATCGCTTGTTCGCGTGCTTCAAGTGCGGTTTAACACCTCCCAGTAATTTCTTAAAATTTTCCCTCTTTTTTTTTTATTATTATTTTTATCTCTCTCCCTAATCGCCTGTCAACTATGAAGTTCCAATTTCTTATTGTTTTTGTCTGAAATTAAGAAAATAATAATATGTGCTGTTGCCTCAGAATCTGCTACGAGGGAAAGGAAACGAAGCAGAAGAAGATTGGAGCAGGGGAGTTCGGAATCTCCAGGTCCAGGATTGGTTGGAGAAGAACTGAAAACCCCATTATCACGCATCAGAAAAACCAACATTGAATCTTCCATGGAGAAAGTAATATAGTTTCTGCTGTTAGTATAGGACTAAATTTAGATAATGTTTTTAGGTATTTTTGATGCTGCTTTTAAATCAAATTAGAGTTTCATTTTAGTTATCAGTCTAATAGAGCTTCATTAAATGTCAATATAGATTACGAACTGAAACTTCAACTCAAATTGAAGAGTAACTGTAAAAGGTGGAGGAGGAACTGTATGTAGGCTTTGTTCTTTAGTTAATTTATTGTCTCCTTTTAAATATCTACCGAATGAATAGCTTCCATGTCTTACATAAGGCTTACTTGTTGTTTTTGATGTTGATTTAAATTTTGCTATGAATATGGTTGAGAACATTTGGGTTAGGTATTGCACTAAGTTGGTCCAGTGAAAGACCTATATATATATATATATATATATATATATATATATATATATATATATAGTGTACAGATGTATCCCCTGATTGTTAAAATTATTACTATCTGAAAATTTTTTATTTTGTTCCTCTTAATATTATATATTTGAACCCACTGGCCATTGCTCTATGATATACTTGTATGTAGTTGAAAATGTACACCACTTGACTTGAAAAGTAAATTGCCCCCTTTAACTTAGGGTCTCTTAGATCCACCACTGGTCACTACTTTACCCCTTTAAATGTTGTGTCTACTCTAGGTAAGTAGGTAACTTTAGCTTGCTTAATATAACTTATTATTTGATGATTGGAGTTAAAATGTTATGCAACTTAATGTAACTTATTATTGGATGATTGGAGTTAAGATGTTTGGTTGGAGAGCTTTTTCTGTTTTTATTTTCTGTTTTCATTTTTAGTTATAATAGTACTATCTTATTTTCACTTTGTGCCATGTATTTGAAAGTTTATAAAAATGGAAATATCTTTTATTGTTTCCCCCCCTATTATTTTGATTTTAATCTTTGCAATATAAACTTTTAAAATTGAAAACAGAAAATGCTTACTGTGTTTTTTTTTTCTAGTATGTTTTTGTACAGTAGATTGCTTTCTCTTCCACCCAAATTGTTTTTAAAATGTTACTACATTTCTACCCATATATGATATATGTGAGACTTGGCTCATACACTAACCTTCCATAAAAGTTAAATTAGTCTTCATTACACTTTCAGCTTAAATCAGCAGTAGCCAGAAAAGCACAAAGTATTGGTCGTGGGAAGCAATTCTCTCCAATTGTATTTTATGGATCTCCTCATGGTGTGCCTCCCAAAAGGCCAACCCGTATGTTATGGCGATTGTTACGTGAGATATGTCCTGATCTCTCTCAGAAAAAGGAACTGGACGTAAGGTATTTGATTGTCAGACGCTGCATGCTGGTTCTACCCACTTTCCATCCTTTTTACTGATTTACTTTTCTTTAACTTCATGCATTGGAATAAAACTTGAACCCTGCTTTGTGTTTGTCTAGAAAGGAAGTTTGGATGACATTCCCTAGGCAGGATGAAGCAATGAACTTTGTCAAAGGACAAGAAGATGTTCATGTTTTCAGCTATCAAGACCACTTTAATGGCCAAAGAAGGTTCCTCGTGTCTACATATACAGAATTCTGGCGAAGGTTTCCTTTATATTGCTTTCTCATATAATTCATTATTTGCAACTAACTAGTAATATCCTTGTATCAATGTAATTGTTGGTCGTCATGGACTCAGGTACAAAAATATGAATCCCAAATTCCGTCATCATTATGAGGTTATTCAAGAGGTAATAATGTTGTGTTTTATATTCACTGATTTAACTAGCAAAATGAGGCATTATGGCTAAACTAGGCGTGTTTTCATTGCTTGTTTTTTCCAGTCTTAATCTTTCTTTTTGCTTCCAGAGTTTACCATGTCACCTTTATTTTGATCTGGAGTTTAATAAGAAAGTCAACATAGAAAAGAATGGAGAAGAAATGGTTGATCTCTTGATATCAATAGTTCTAGAAGCCATACATGAAAAATATGCAATCCAAGGAGATCACGATTGGGTTGTAGAACTTGATTCTTCAACTGAAGGTATGGATTTCTTGCATGTCTATTATGTGTTATGTGTGTAGCCTATATATTTGAGCTTTTTTCGTTTTGCTTACACGACTTTCCTTTTAATGCTTGACTTTGACACGACATGAATTCTTGATTCTGTAGTTTCTTATGTCTTCTATCACTCCGTGCATTTTTCATGTTTTCCTGCCCAATGAAATATAGCAAAGAATTTGTAGCTAATCTATGCATATTAACAGTTTCAGTTTGGCTTCAACACACATTGTTTGCAGTTAGGGATCAGTGTTGATTTGTTAAAGATTGGATGGCAGGGGTCATTGGTGCTGTTTGTCCACCATAACATTGGAACTAGTGAATATAGAGATCGTTTGTCTTGTCTAATTAGTTTTACTCTGAAATGCCTTGGAGGATTCATTTCCAAGACTCTGTGCCAAGAACTAAGGACTTCTTCACCTTTCAACAAATGGACACCTATAGGACTTTTGCCATCCTAACAAATTACGAAAACAATCACAAATAAACAAAAATATAGCGAATAAAAGATAATCCAAGATAAAAAATAATATATATTTAAATATTTGTGAATTCCAAGAACACTTTACACTAGCTGGTCTGCCATTGTAAACTTTTATATGTAAAACAATTGTGGAATGCTTCTATGATATGAGTTCTGTTTATTCCCATGTCATGACCCTTATTATCTTAGTATTCTCATTTGCAGATAAGTTCTCTCGTCATATAATAGTTCGCATACCAAAGGCTGCATTTAAGGACAACACTCACGCTGGTGCATTTGTTTCAGAAGTAAGCTTGAGTATTCTCATTTTTTCAACCTCAGCTAGATATAAATTTTGGGTTAAGACGGTTTTCTTTCTATTTTTTATATTCACTTCTTTCTTTTTGTCACTATTCACAGATCCTTCTATTTCAAGAATAAGACGGTTTTCTTTCTATTTTTTATATTCACTTCTTTCTTTTTGTCACTATTCACAGATCCTTTTATTTCAAGAATAAGAGTTAGATTTACTCTTTATCTATCATTCAATTTTTTGTAATTTAATAATTTAAAATAATAACTTATTTTAATGATTAGTTTATAAAAAAATAAATAATGGATAAAAAAATAAATAGTAGGAATGAAGAATAAGTTTCTAACTCATATTTTTAGATTAACAAGATCTCTCCTTGTATATATATTGAATTCAATAATTATGAATGCAATGTTCTATGGTATTTCTTTTGGGAAGTATCAGTATCCACTAACAATCATCGTCACTCTGATAAATTATTACCAGGTATGCTCAAGAATTCGAAATGAAAGGGGAAAAGATAAAAGTTTAGAAAAATTGTTTGTAATGAAAGATTCTAGAAGGGATGAATCTGCAGACCAACTTTTCGTGGACACTGCAGTATATTCTCGGAATCGTTGCTTCCGTCTTCTTCTTTCTTCAAAAGCTGGAAAAAGTTCCGTTCTGCTACCAACAAAGCGATTTAAGTGCAAGGACTTGGTATGGTATCTTTCTTACTAATATTTGCTATTGGAAAGGGTTTTCGTAAAAGAAAACCAGATGAAAATTGGAATACCCAGTTTTAGTATTTGCAGAAGCCTCCTTGCAACACAGAATTGAAAACAACAGCCATTATATACATAGAGCTCCTCTAAAAGAATCAGTCATCATCATGCTTCATCTTTTAGATCCTATGGGTATTGAATTTATTAACAAAAATTATTTACGGTGCAGAAAAGGAAAATAACATGTATTGCTTTCAGTTAATTGCCTATGCTGTCCTGTTGAAGACAGTTGTAGGATCGTATTCAACGGATTGAAGGCCAAAAATATGCATTTTCATAAGCAAAGTGTATCTATGTCTTCATTTTTCCTTTTATTGATTTTATGCAATTTTCTTTTGTCTTAGTTATTTTTCTGTTTTGATTTCGTTAAGTGACAGGGTGAAGAAGACATATTTATATCTTCATTGATCTGCAATATGGACGTTGATTGCCAAACGTATCTGGTCTGCAAAACAGACATAAATTGTGTAAAAACGCTGCATTTTGATACAGAGGTAGGTTTGGACTTTAATTTTATAAATCTTTTATTGCAATTTTAGTTTAAGTTCCAAGATATAACAGAATTCAAGGGTCATTATTTCCGACAAAGTAAAATTTATTTTCTATTTGCATAAAGTGTTACCATGTTAAGTCTGTAGATTTCTAAAATATGTTGTAGCAAATATATATGTAATATATATAAAGCTTAGACTCTTACCTTGGTATTGAAAACTTATTTGTTGATAAAAAATATATTTTACTATTCACACTCCCATAATTGGATAAAAGAGTAGCTTCGTTGAAATTTAAACTTTCATGTGCTTAATGCCTTAATTATCACACTTATTTAACTTTGACAGGAGAATTGTAATGTTGGAAATTCATGCCTAATTCCTCGAGAATTTACATTGGGTATTGGCACCAGTGATGTTTCGACAACATACTTCATGGGAAAGTCACCATTCCCATTTCTGGACAAATTTATACTATCAGTTGGCTCTGTAGGGAATATACCAGGTGCTACACGCCAGCTTGTAATATTGACTTTATTACTTTAAGCATGTTTTTGCATAAGTTAATTAACCCAACTTAATAAGTTTGATTTTGTTCAATGATTTACTATTTTGAATTTTAGTTGTAATACTTGCATATACTATGATACTATAATCGCTCATCGCATTAGGCATGACAACGGGTAGGACGGGACAGGTTTGACTTCCTAGTCCCTGACTTCCGTAATCATTCCTGTCCTCATTTTCGTTAGGTTTCGAGATTCCTGTCTTTGTTTCAATTTATTTTTAAAAGGAATAAGTGTACATGAATTATAATAATACATAAGTAAATATTTGAAATCTTATAACTTTTAAATTACTATTATAGATTGAGTATATATTTTAATTTATATATATATATATATATGAAGAAATATTTGATCGCTTTGTTATATAAGATATGGAATATTCATAAAATTGTTATTATTATATACTATAACTCTATACTCAACCTTTAATTGCATATATACATTAATTATTTTTAGGTTTATCATTTTTAAATATTATTAAATATAAAATATATAGTTTATAATAAAATGTTTAATAAGATAATTCTTATTAATTGTAAAATAATAAAAAATTCAATTGTCAATCATTTTAAAACTGTTAATCCTTCAAAATATAATTATTTAATTAATATTTTATAGTTGATAAATAAGAATAATAAATTTTAGAAAATATAATAAATCCTAATTAAGAAAAATTAGAAATAAAATGGTAATAGCTGCTTGTTGTTATTAAGATTAAATTAATGCACAATATTTAGATAAAAATAATGAAAAAAAAATTAACTTGTATTTATCAAATTGGTTGAAGAGAATAGAGAAATGTGATTGGTTGAAGAGAATAGAGAAATGTGAAGGAGTGAAAAGTGAGAGAAAAAAAGAAGAGTCTGTTGAACTAGTTGAAGAGATTGAGAAAATCGATTTTTCCCATTAACCTGGGGTTGGTCCTCATGGGTAGAGGTTTGATTGTTATCCCCATTCGATGTCATATACACTCACATAGACGACGCATATCAATATCAGGTGAGATGAGAATGAGAGGAAAAAGTCTTAAATGTATAATTTAAATGGATGTTTAAAGCTAAAACAATCTTAACCATCCATACATTATTGTATGGTTAATATTTACACATCGCATCTCTTAACAGTCACTAGATGGTTTCATGCTGTTCCTAAAAGTTTTCAAGTTCAGTATAACCATACTCATTGTGTTGATATCTTGCTGCAATTGTAGGAAACATTCATAGCTGGTATTTTTTCTCGGAATTTGGACTGATGGTCTACAGCATGACAAAAAATAGATACTGTGAGAGAATTGGCAGACAGCATAAAAGCAATAATGGTAACTTTCTATCCTGACAGGATGGAACTGCCGTTTGGCCATGTCTGACTGTGAAATCTTCACTCTTGACTGAGTTTTTTCTGAATTTTAGGGTAGAGATTCCTTGTATTTGATTATGATTGTAAATTTCGTTTCTATTGTTAGAAGTATGGTTGCACCTTGTCTTCAATTTTGTTGTGTTCTCTATTATCTGATTGCAACATAATGATTTGATGATTTACTGGTCCAGTGATATATGTGGTTGATCTACGAATGGCAGTGTATTATCAGAAATGTCATGATCCTGACTGCAGAGGTTAATATATTTGCAGAAAAGTGCTTCAAGACCATTTTCACACTCAATTTTCCATTCTCTTCTAACATATTGATTAATTCATTATTCATGGAAATAGGTTACCGGTCTCCGATGCGACAAATCCCAGTTCATGTGTTCTCCAATCCTTCTGATGTAATAGATTCCTTTGGGTTGTTAGATGGTGAACAGTTGGTAGATAATAAGTGGAGATATCAACTTGATGATAACAAAGAACAAAATTATCTACAATATGATGACACTGTTGAGGGCAACTCCAACGATTCTTGGTGGCTAGAGGCCATAAGAGTTGTCGAAGATATTGAGAATAAGCAAACAAAGACACAGCTAAGCACTACGGTTAGTACATCTTAATCTTGTTTTCAACCCTACCATTCACATTATAATGGCCATAATAGGTCAACCTTGTTAGTTGATATCCTGCTTCACTATAGGACTAAAGACCTACACCCTTATTTAGACAGTGCTGGTAGATTGTATTTCCAATATGGTATTGACTTTTTAAAATGGGTCTTCAAATATAATAGGGTTATATATGAAATGAAACTAAGGATCAAATGGGTTATTTAAGAGCTGAGAACTAGCTCAGCTGGTGAAGTCCTTTGCGGGCGATTGTCAGGACCCAAGGTGAAATTTTACCTTTTGCTCATTTGGAGTAAACTCCCCATGTGTAGCATAGTGGGTGAGGATTTGTATGTGTTCCATAATTCTTGTGTTGGCGCGAGTCAATTATTGGCTGAAGTCTACAGAAAATCTTAAAGCAAATATCTCTTGTTAAAGAGTAATTTAACCTTCTTATCATTGCTTGTTTTTGAGATTTTTTTTATTGCTGTAGTATATCTGCCCACTTCATCTTATGTTTTTGGTCCATGTATGATGTATCCCCTCTCGGTTAAACAGACTGTATACATCAATAGTTTACATATACTCTTAAACACTAATGTATGGTTGTCTAAATAGACCTCAATGGTGAATGACATATCGATAGATCCCTATATTATGTTGAGTAAAAGCTGCCGAATTATTAAACTTGTCGGTATAACTATCCAAATTTCCAGTTCAAACATTTAAGATTTTAGAATTTAGATAAAGAAAAAGATATGTTCTTATCATTTAATTTTAAAATTAGGATGAAAGGTGTATAAAGAGAGGATTCATATGAAGAGATAGGGCACCACTTAAATGAAGAGGGCTATTTGCCCAAACAAAACTTGTCACTAGACAGTCCTTTGTCCTAGAGCATGATTGCGGTGAAGATACTTTATTTATCTTAGTTTACATGTACATACTACTGAATAATAGTTTAATAAAATATGTTAAAGCAGGAGATAATTGATGATGAAGATGAGGAGTGGTGGCTGGCTGTAGAAAGTACTGCATTCGAGGCCGAACGGGCAAGCTTCAGTCAACAGGGATTTTGCGCTATCTAAGTCCATAGTGTACAAAGAAATTTCTACTTCTGGGATCAATAATAGCTTCAGGACATGATAACTGTAAAACCAGAAAAACCGCGTATTGCACCATATCACATCTGCTGCAAGCAACATAGGGATCCTGGGCATTGATCCTCTTAAAGGATATAAAATGCTCTTTAAGAGGATTAACAGCTGATTTCACACACGAGCGGTATGAATTTCTCTGTAAGTTTAACCATTTTCTATGTAGAGGTTAATAATCAAAGTAAGTTCTTTTAACCATTCCAATCTATTTCTTGACTTAATTATTTTTCAAGTCTTCTCAATCAATTTCATTTTATAGCAACTTCGTTAAAGCCGTTCCCCTATCATATAGAATTAATTTAAAAGATTTATCAAAGTATATATTTGGGAAATCTTGTGTAAACAGGATTTTCAAACCGAGTTTATTGGGTATTTTTGGAATATAATTACTGTGACAATAGTAGAATACTACAACAAGGAATTGGTCTTACTTATGGTTGGCAATTTGAATCATGGGAATGCCATTTTGTTTAAATATTTTTTATGACAGTCTTAGTACTTTTGTTGCCTTCATTGATTTTGTCTAATTCAAATTTGAAAAGAACATTGCATTAAGTAACACAAGGAATGATCTCATTACTTGTTATTGGAATTAACCAACTCATGGATGTCATGGTAATCTATATCAATATGCTTTAATCTTTCATTATCAGTTGGGTTCGATGCTAGGTGAACGCTGAGTGATAATCACAATATGGGAACTTCTCCAAATAGATCTTTTTAATATTAATTTTTAATTCTTATCTTGCACTATATTTATGGACTAACATTAAATAATATAAATATTTTGTTTGATTTTATATATTTTCTATGTTTGTATTAATTCGAATCATGTTAGAAAGAACTCAATTGGAAAAGCCTTTGTAGCCACACCAATTCACTTGCAACAGACCAAAAAGATCTTCATTTGGCTTCTGCAAAAGATCTGGATTGTTTCTTGGACTTCCAAGATATTCGCTCATTGCCAAGAAACACAAAAAGCTAGTGGTGAAACATTTAGTGTCCAAATAACTACCCCAGCCAACATAGGCATTCAAATCAAGGGGATTTAGAGCAGGCAACAATAGCCCTTCATCAAGAGCTGTTTTGAGGTATTTCAACAAAATGATGATGAATTGCATGAGTGAAGAATGCGAAGTTGATGCATGTACTTCAACTTGTGCACAAAATACCTGATATCTGGTTTAAAAATGGTTAGATACATCAGTCTTCCAACCATTATGCAATTGAGGGAAGGATCAGGTAAAAGTTCTCCGTCGGATTTTGAGAGTTTGAAATTCGGATCCTTAGGTAAACTGGCAAGTTTGCCATCTAGAAAACCAATATTATGCTGAGGCAAAGTGTATTTTCGTTGGGATATTGAGATACCTTCAGAGGATTTGGTAATTTCCAAGCCTAGGAAATATTTCAAGTTTCCTGACACTTGTAAGTTAAACAAATGCAAAGATTGTAACTCATGAAACTTATTAAGAGATTGTTCAAATATGTAATAATATCATCAACATAAATCATAAAAAATACTAGAGAATCCCTTTGAATTGATGTGAATAATAAGGCAAAATCATTCCTAGATTTTGTGAATCCATGATTGAGCAAAGTAGTTAAAAACTTGCAAAACCATCTACGAGAAACTTGTCTTAAGTCATAAAGTGACTTATTTAACTTGCATACAAACTTGCGTACTTTGTATCTCAGGAGTAACTCCATGTAGATTTTCTCGATCAGTTCACCATTAAGAAATACTTTATTGACGTTTAACTGCATTAAGTGTCAAGGTCAATATATTTTGCTGCTCCAATGGTAAGGACTCAGATTGAAGTCAATTTAGCCACTCGAGAAAATATTCGGGAAAAATCAATTCCAACTTGTTGAGTGTAGCCTTTGCTACTAAGCGAGCCTTGTATCATTTTACAATGCAATCAGATTTGAGTTTTACTCTACACACCCACCTACAGCTGATGCACTGTTTACCAGGGGGAAGTAAGTGACTGTTTTATTGGACTCCATTGCACAAATATCGAAATTCATAGTTGTACGCCATTCAAGGGAATTATGCAGTTTGGTGAAAAAATTATGGTTCGTATGTGGAGGAGACTTAATTGGTGTACACTTAATATAAGGGAGAGAGTTTGGTTAAGGTGCAAATATTGATGGTACGAAGTTGTATTATATTGACAAGCTAAGAGGGATGCTTTGGGATAAGATTCATCGACAAAACCAAATTTGTTTTTGTTAAGAAGAACCATCTTCATAGCTTTCTTCTGAGAATTATAATTATTGTTTCGCAAATGGGTACGAAACAAACATCCATCCAATGAGAGGATGATGGAAGGATTTGAATCAGTTGTGGCTGCCATGGTAAAATCACATTGATGAAGTAAGTACGTATTCTCTGTATTCGAGGAAAGAGAAACCTCCTAAGAAAGAGAATAGTAAGAGAGAGAAATTATTTTTTTTCCCTTTACATAACGGTACTTACAATCATATATAACCAACCCTTCTAATAATATTCCTTAATGGGTAACAGCGTGCAGTACGCACAAGGAACATGTTCTAGAATTTTGCTGATTCATTAACTAATAGTGAATAAAATCATCCCACCCTCTGGGCTTGTGACTCACACATTTGGGTCTCTCACTGCTAATAATAGTATTGTTTGGAGGGGTTACTGCAACATTACCCTCCCTATGAGATTCAACCTTGTCCTCAAGGTTGTACAAGGATTTCAGCTCATCCCAAATTTCCCAAGAGGTATCATTAGGTGACAGACCCAGCCACTGAATCAAAGCAAAGCGGGTTTGCGTGTTATTGATGTCCTCAGTTTTGAAGTCAAGAATAGCTAGTGGGGTGATGAGGGGGTGACTACCAATGAAGTTAGGTGGAAGGTGATCAACATTAGTTGGAGGAGGACCAACATGTGGCTTCAGACGGGAGCAATGGAAGACATTATGTATTTTGGCATTTGAAGGCAGCTCTAATTTATAAGCTACAGGGCCAATGCGCATCAAAACCTAGTACGGATCGTAGTAACGTTTGGCTAATTTGTGATACTTGGAACTGGAAAGGGAAGTCTGTTTGTGGGGCTGTAACTTGACGTACACCCAGGATCCCACTTCATGAGTCATGTCTCTGCGATGCTTATCCGCATATTCTTTCATGCAAATCTGTGCCTTGAGCAATTTCCGTTGCAATAGGCGAAGAACCTCCTCACGAGATGACATTGTCTCGTCGATGGCTGCAATTGATGATGACCCAGCAACATAAGAAGGCAAAGAAGGAGGAGGTTTCCCGTAAATAACCTGATATGGGGATAGACCAGAACGGGAATGAACTGAGGTGTTATAGTGGTACTCTGCCCAAGGTAAAAATTTGTACCAAAGAGAAGGCTTGTGAAAAATGAAAGCCCTTAAATATTGCTCGATAGTCCGGTTCATCATCTCCGTTTGTCCATTGGTTTGTGGATGGTAGGAAAAACTCATGCCCGGAGTTTAGTGCCACTAAGTTTGAATAAATCGGTCCAAAATCTGCTAAGAAAGATGGGGTCTCTATCAGACACAATGCTTTTTGGAATGCCATGAAGCTTGCAAACCATAAAAACAAATAATTCGGCCACCTTATATGCAGTGAAGTGGGTAGGTAGAGCACCCAAATGAACCCCTTTAGAAAAAATGGTCTACTACCACCAAAATCACAGTGTATCCAAATGAAGGAGGGAGACAAGTAATGAAATCCATAGACACATCTTCCCACATATTAGATGGAATAGTAAGAGGAGTAAAAAGCCCTGTGATACATAGCTTGGTATTTTGTTTGTTGGTAAACGAGTACACTGTGATACATAGTCATGAACATCTTTCCTCATGGAGTCCCAAAAAAAATTGACACTAAGACGTTGCAAGATCTTAACGACGCCATCATGTCCCCCTGTATTAGTGTCATGAAACTCGCAGAGTATTGCTGCCTTACAACAAGAAGTTGGAGGAAGCCAGATTCTTCCCTTGTACAATAAAAAACCATTCACTTTATTGTACTCGGTAGGGGAGCTGTATTGATGTCACATTTATCCAACATGGCAATGTAAGAGGTGTTGCAGGTAGCATCAATTGTCCTGTGACGAAGGTCAGGTGGGCCGAGTCACAATTGAATCGTGGCGCTTGGGCTGTTAAAGTAAAAAGAGTTGCGTTCTGACTAATGACTATAGCTTTTGGCCTAGTGGTAAGCGCTCGATCCTAACAATTGGTATCAGAGCCAAGGTCACGAGTTCGATTCCTGGTGGGCAATTGTTGAGGGGGAGATTGTTGCAGGTTGCACAATTGTCCCGTGGCAGAGGCCGGGTGGGCCAAGTCACAATCCAAGAGTGGGATACCTTGTAGGACAATTGCTGAGGGGGAGATTGTTGCAGGTAGCATCAATTGTCCTGTGACGAAGGTCAGGTGGGCCGAGTCACAATTGAATCGTGGCGCTTGGGCTGTTAAAGTAAAAAGAGTTGCGCTCTGACTAATGGCTATAGCTTTTGGCCTAGTGGTATCCTAACAAGAGGAATCACTCTGAAGCTCCTTCTTCAATTCTTCCAAGAAGACAAGCTGAGAAATAATCAATATGAGGCAAGAGGTTGGAGCGGGACATTGTGATCGAGATAAAGCATCGGCCACAATATTTGTGTTGCCCGATTTGTATTGAATTTGGTAATCATATCCCAACAACTTGGACAAATAATGTTGCTGATCAGGGGTCTGGATCACTTGTGACATTAATTCCTTCAAACTCTTTTGGTCTGTTTGGATTACAAAAAAATGGCCAAGGAGGTATTGCCGCCAACGCTTGACGGCACTAATAATAGCATGAAGCTCCCTTAGATATGCAGATGCACGAGCCATCCGAGGACAGAATACCTTACTGAAGTAAGTGATGGGATGACCTCCCTGTAAGAG